TGAGTGTGTCTGGAGTTGTTTCTGCATCTTCTAATCTATTCCACTGATCCTCGGGTCTGTTTCTTTGCCAGTACCATGCTGTTTTTATCACAGTGGTGTTGTAGTATAGTTTCAAGTTGGGGATTGTGATACCCCCACCCATCTCTCTCTTACCTAGAATTGCTTTTGCTATTTCAAGTTTCTTCTGGTTCCAAATGAACTTTTGGATTGTTTTCTCTAGTTCTGTGAAATACGCTGTTGGGATTTCAATCGGGATTGCATTGAATCTGTACAGCAGTTTTGGAAGTGTGGCCATTTTCATTATATTGGTTCTTCCTACCCAGGAGCAAGGGATGTCTTTGCATTTTCTTATATCTTCTTTGATCTCTTTTTGCAGAGTGCTGTAGTTTTCAGTGTAGAGGTCTTTTGCTTCCTTTGTTAGATTGATTCCTAGATATTTCATTTTTTTGGATGTTATTGTAAAAGGAATTGTTTCCCTAATTTCTCTCTCAGTGAGTCTGCTATTTGTGTATAAGAAGGCTATTTTTTGAGTGTTGACCTTGTATGCAGCTACTCTACTGAATCTGTCAATTAAGCCTAGAAGTCTTCTGGTGGAGTTCTTTGGGTCTTCCATGTAAAGTATCATAGAGTCAGCAAATAATGGCAATCTAACTTCTTCCTTTCCTATCCTTGCTCCTTATTTCTTTCTCTTGTCTAATTGCTGTGGCTGATGTTTCAGAGCTGTATTGAACAGGAGTGGTGACAGTGGGCCAAAGTGGGAACTATGGGGCCAAAGTCAGGCTGTCTCCTGGCCTGCGTCCCCTCTGTTCCTGCCCTTTTCCGGTTTCCAGAAGCCACTCAATTCCTTGGCTCGTGGTCCTCTCCGCCTTCAGCCGTCTCTGACCTCTGCCTGCCTCTTGTAAGAACCTCAGGCCACTGCGTGGGGCCGCCCTGTTAGTCCAGGGGCCTCCTCATCGACACCTCAACTGCAGCAAGCAGGCCCTGCAGTCGAGGCGCCAGTCAGGTGTCGGGATTAAGACGAGGGCCTTGGCAAAGCTGTTGCTCTGCCTCCTGCTCTGCCGTGGGTCGCAGGACAGCTCAGCCTGCCCCTCCCCGAGTGCCTGTGCCTGCCACATTCCAGCTGTGGCAGCTGCGGGCGGGCGGTTTGGCCCCTCTGCCTCTCAGGCCCTTCCTCTGGGAGATGCCTGCTCGGACCCTGGGGCCCGTCAAACGCAGGGCGTGCTTACTTGTCCCGTGTCTCTTGTCCTTGACCACAGGCACAGGTGTGTGATTCTTTTCCGGTGTCAGACTTTGGTAAGCTGTAATGCCATCCCGTGGGATTATCTGCCGATCTGCGCAGTGTGTCAGCTTCTTGCCAAACTGCTACTTGGTCCCTCGCTGCTGCTGTGTTCGCAGGACCTCGTCACTTTTATATCATTCCTTGGCACCATCCAGGGTGGTGGAATGGGCCTGTTGGTCTTGGTGGCCTTTGCTCTTTCTGAGTTATTTTCATGGTCTGAATTCCCACACTCAGAGTTGCTGAACCGCCTCGCAGAAGGCTACAGGCTGCCACCCCACAGCAGTGGGTATCCGCTGACGAGGAAGAAGTTGCCTTTCGTTCTTGCAGCAAAGTCCGCTCGCTTGTCTCCTGCGTGCGGCCCCCACAGGGCTCTAGGAAGACAACATGCAGGGACAGGTGCACCCTTGTCTAGAGCAGGGCCCTAGCAAGAAAGGCGGCCGCTTAGGTGGTAGGACTAACAGGGCACCTCAAGGGTCTTTCCGTTTGCATTTCTTTATTCACAGATTCTCTATTCTGTTAATTCTATTAATGATGAGAAGTCATGGATGGAATACATTTCCTGGTCTAGTGCCCTGAGACGCGCAGTTTTGAACTTTGCAAACACTGGTGGGGATGCCCTTGCTTGGGCTCCTGTGACCTTCCAGGCTCTGCGTCCCCTCCCTGCTGACAAGCACGTGCTCATGTTCCCAGGGACTGACGTCATGGTCCGGTGCCTCAAGCTGCTGAAGGAGTTCAAGAAGAAGGTGGAAGATGACCACGATGACGATGACGATGAGGAAGTCATCTCCAAGGCCGTGCTTCCCGTGGACATCGTTTACGAGCGGGATATGCTCACGCAGACCTATGACCTCAGTGAGTTGGGGCCTCCTTGGGCCAAGTGGGGAGCACCCACAGGGAAGCAGCGCTCTGCTGCCAGGAGTGTCCCTTAGAGGGCTCGGTTTGTTTTTCTTTTTTTGGTACCAGGGATCGAACTCGGGTCCTTGCGCTTGCGAGGCCGGCGCCGGAACCACTGAGCTAAATCCCTGGCCTGAGGGCTCAGTTTTGGGCTCAGATTCCAGTTAGAAGCCTTGCTGCCCCTCCTCTGTGTGACTCTACGAGGTCTGTAAAATAGGATGTAGTAGTCAGGGTCCTTCCAAGAGACAGACCCTATAGGCTGTGTAAGAAAATCTAGAGAGGCTCTGATCTACTGGGGGAGTGGGTTCATGGGATAATGGAGGTTGGAGAGTCTCACCCTGGACCTGCGCAAACCGGGAGCTGGAGACCTGCAGGCCCTCCGCCCCAGGAGAGAAGAGGAAGGTGTGGCTCTCCGCTGCCTTTCCGTTCCCTCTGGCCCCCAGCTGATTAGGTTGAACCTATCCACATTAAGGCCAGGTCTTCCTCACGCAGCCCACCGGCTTTCAGCCCAGGCTTCTCCAGAAATGACCTCACAGACGCATCTGGAGGTAACTTCCCCAGTTATCCAGCTATCCCTTAATCCAGCCAAGCTGACACCTAAAATGTACCATCACAGGGGGCTGATACCCACACTAGCACATTTGAAGGGTACATGATGTAGGATTAAAATATCTAGAATAGTGCGTAGCACACAGAAAGCACACACATAAAATAGCTGTTTGTCTTAGTAAGTTTCCGGGTGCTGTAACAGAGTACCCAAGATGGGGTAATTTATAAAGAAAAGAGTTTATTTTGACTTACAGTTCAGGAAGCTGGGGTTCAGGTTGGGTGCTGGAATCTGCCCAGCTTCCAGTGAGGGCCTTATGCTGCTCTGTGCATGAAAGAAAAGCAGGAGGCGTCTGGGGTGGAACACAAAGGGCCACCTTGCTTTAGCACAGTCCGCTGTTCTCACAGTAACTGACACAGTCTCAGAGAGCAGGGAACCGCTCCTGCGAGAGGGCTCTCCTCTGTGCAGGAGGGCTCCACACCTGCTCCCAGATGCCTCCGCCAGGCCCCACCATACCGCTGTGCTGAGGGTCTCAGCCACAGCATGAGGTTTAAGAGCCACTCCTCCTTGTAGGCCATCCGGAGTCACCGAGGCTGGGTCTCCTAATATGAAGGGGCAGGAAACTGTTCCTCCCATTCCTCACCCTGCCCTAGGCCCCCAAAGTCTGGGACAGCTGTGACCCAGGGCCACAGGCAACATGGCCACAGGAGCCTGTGGGGAGGACAGAGCAGTGGTGAAGCGGCCACAGGAGGCCTAATAATCCACTGGCGAGTCAGCCACTCTTCTAGAGAACGGTGACAGTTTCAACAGTTTGCGTGTGAGGGGTTCCGCAGAGCACAGTTTGGAAACAGCTCACCCCGAGCTCTTTCATCTCTGCTTTTGGCATGTTGCTGGTTGAATATAGGAACCTCCCAGCCATCCCTTTTTATTCTGCCATTTATTTTTATACATGTATGACACAACAACCTCTTTATCCTGATTGATTTTTCCTGGCAGCCTCATCTATGCAGATATATCAGGAAATAAGAGAGAAAATATTTCTGAAGTGTCCAAGAGCTTTGCTATCACATCTGCCCCACTTCGGGGACCCCTGCGGCCTCCCACCCCAGCCAGGCTCCTTCCTAGTGTTCTCAGTCCCAGATTAGAGGAAGGAACTTAAAAGGGTGTCTTTGAGGCAGACACAATAACAGCGCTGAGAAGCGGCAGCTGACGGGAGCTGACAGGCTACACAGTGCCAATTACTGGGCCCCGTGCTCAGCGAGGCCTTCACTGTCAGGCTCCGTGGTGCTGTTTCCTTCCTGTCCCTGCTTGCAGGGCGGCTACAGTCCACGGTGCCCCTGTGTCAACCAAGAAAGACAGGGGCATGAAGGACACACATTAAAAAAGTTCTCAGAGCTGGAGGTGGGGCTCACACCTGTAACCCCAGCACTCTAGGAAGCTGAGGCAGCAGGGTCCCAAGTTTGAACCCAGCCTGGACAATTTAGTGCTTAGACTGACTCAGAATAAAGAAAGGGCTGGGATGTAGCTCAGTGGGAAGGTCCTGGGTTCAAACCCTAGTACTGAAAAAAACTAATTAAAGAATTATTTTAGAAAGTTATTTTGGGGCCAGGGATTTAGCTCAGTGGTTCTGCTGCCTGCATTGCAGGCGCAAGGTCCCAAGTTAGATCCCTGGTACCAAAAAAAAAAAAAAAAGTTATTTTGATGCTCATTTGTCTGAAAAAGTTTATTCATGAGAAAGTGCTAACTTGCCGAGTAAAGATGGTGTTTGTAGAACTTAAGAGATCAACCACTGAATGCTTTCCCTCCAGACCCCCAAATAAGCTGTGGGTGTCCTTGTCCGAATAGTGTTGCTCAGAGTCTCGGAGGAAGAGGGGCAGCAGCACTGTGCTTCCTGTGCTGTGCTCGTGGCAGTGAGTGCAGGGGCCGCGGCTCACAGGCCCTTTCTCCCAGTTGAGCGCAGAGGCACGAAAGGAATTTCCCAAGCTGAAATCCGAGTGGCCATGAACGTGGGGAAGCTGGAAGCAAGAATGCTGTGCCGGCTTCTTCAAAGGTTCAAGGTTGTCAAGGTAACGCCCAAGTCTCCCCTGCAGTTCCTTTGGGTGCGCACACATGGTGATTATGAAGCGGGTTGCAGGCGGTCAGAGGACCAGACGCCCCATCATCTGTGTCCAGGAGGCAGACGTCACATTGTCGTGTCTCCGCATCACTGTGGCTTCCATTTGCTTCCATTTTTTAAAAACTGAAGGAGTTCTCATGAAGCAGGGCCACAAGGGGCTCGCTCCTATGCAGGGACAGGCAGCCAGAGCTGGCTGGTGTCTGTCCACCTGCCCTCCCTTTTCTGTGATTCGCCTCCAGTCAGCTAACTGCATGTTGGTGCTTTCCTTTTGTCATTTGGACCCGCATCTCAGCACCTTGATGCTTGCATTAGTCAGCACTGCATAACTATAATGAAATACCTGAGGCAACTGGCTTTTAAAGACAAAAGGTTTATTCCAGCCCATGGTTCTAGAGGTTCCAGAACACCTAGAAGATCAAGTAGCGCACTGCCTCGGGCCTCTGGTGAGGGTGCATCACTGTGAGGGCACATGGCAGTGCAGGCTGCTTATGTCAGGAGCCAGAACGGGGAGAGGTGACTCACCCCTCAGCCGCATTGTGGGCACACCCCGAGGCCAGGGCCTCCCTCCCGCTCACCTCCTGGAGGTTCTGCAGTGTCCAGTAGTGCCACGCAGGCACCGGTCCCGTAACGAGGACTGGGGCACCCAAGCCGTACCAGCGCCCGACCCTCTTCTCGCCTGCCTTTTGGACACCGCCAGAGGCAGGAGGACAGCTGAGCTAAAGACACAGAGAGCCCAGCAGCCCGGCACGGGTGTGTGTGTGGAAGGCGTTGCTCTTTCTCTTCTCCAGGGCTCTAGGAAGAGCCCTCCTCTGTCCCCGAAGATGAAACGAGTGTGGGCTGGCAGTGGCCATGCCCCTGGGCCCTGTGGCCACGGCCGGTGTGTAGCAGACACACGCTGCTTGCCGGCCGGCCGGGTTTCGTGAGCCAAGTCCCGGGCCAGGTGTGGCACGAGTGGAGGCCCTGGCCTCGGGAGCTCGGGCCTCTGGGGCAGGCGCCTGTGGGATTGCACTTCAGACAGCCCTCCCTCAGGCTGCGGGGGGTCAGGGCCGAGGTGAGGAGGCGGGGAGGGAGGGCCAGGGCGAGCGTCCGTCGTGGGGGCCTAGCCCCACTTTGCGGGCGCTGAGCCATCTGACCCCCAGGGGTTCATGGAGGACGAAGGCCGGCAGCGGACCACCAAGTACATCTCATGCGTGTTCGCTGAGGAGAGCGACCTGAGCCGGCAGTACGCGCGGGAGAAGGCCCGGGGCGAGCTGCTGACCACCGTGAGCCTGGCCTCCATGTCCGAGGAGCCGCTGCTGCCTGAAGGCGAGGACGCCTTTCTCTCCGAGTCGGACAGCGAGGAGGAGGGCAGCAGGGTCAGCAAGCGCAGGGCCCGGGGAGCCCAGCCCCACGTGCGGCCGTCTGCGGAGTTCGGGCCTGGTGCGCAGCCTCAGCACTCCACCCCGACCAAGGGTAGGAAGCGGGGCGACTCCGAGGATGCCCTGGGTGCGGCCGGTCGGGGCCGGCGGGGTCATTCGCGTCCCGTGATCAGAGGGCTGATGGGGACGCTCATGTGGTCTGGCTCCTGGCTGCTGGCAAGGCCGTTCTTGGCAAGCGTTTGGTTTCAAACTGGTATGGGGAGGACATTCTGTGAACTCCCTCTGTCCTCTTCCATCCAGCCACCTACTCAGAAATCCTCAGGCTTTTAAATTAACTATAGAATACTAAAAAACACCCACGGAGGGCAGGGAGCTGGTGTCCAGCCTGACAGAGGAGGGCCCCACGCTGCTCACCAGGCCTGGAGCCGGCTCTGTCAGGGCTCTAGCAGGTCCTCGGCCCCTGTGCCTCCGTGGCCCCTTGGCTGGCCCTCGCTCCCTCTGACAGCTCCGCTGCTGCGCTCCTCACAGGCGGGTGGAAACTGCTCAACCTTCACCCCTTGAAGAGGCAGCTGCCTTCCTCCCCAGGGGCTGCTGAGGAGCGAGCCTCCCGGAGCTCGGGGGCCAGGGACAACCTGGACACCAGCGGCTCCTCGGACTTCAACGTGTCCTTCGGCTCCCACTGCATGGAGAGCGCCAGTGGCGACATAGCCATGATCGAGGAGGTGCGGCTGGACAACCCCAAGGTCAGTGGGGGCCTCTGGCAGGTGGGCATCAGCCTTCTCTGCTTGGGGATCTCAGGGATGGCGCCGGAGCCTGCGGTAGTAAGAGGGTCACACGCTGAGTGCCTGCTCCATCCCTGCAGCGGCCAGGGCTCCACAAGGAGTGGCTCCGCACTTGTTCATGTGCCCGCTTCATGCTGCCTGTGGTCGGGCGGAAATCCCTTCTGTGTTGTTTACCCCAGGCCTCCGATTGCCAATAGCTTGCTCTTTTCAGAGGGAGAATTTGTACGGCTAATTTAGATTGTCCTGGGCCAGTGTTGCCCCATAGGGGACATTTGGCTGCGAGGCCATGTCTGGAGAGACTCCTGATTGTCACAACTTAGGGAGGGGTCTGCTAACACGGAATAGGGAGCAGCCGAGACTCTGCTTCTCAGAGCAGTTTTGAGACAAGGTCGCCTTCTGTTGCCGAGGCTGGCCTTGAACTATTGGCCTCAAGCCATCCTCTTGCCTCTGCCTCCTGAGTAGCTGGGATTTTAGCTGTGTGCCACATTTTTCTTTTTTCTCATGGTGCTGGGGATCAAACCCAGGGCCTCGTCTGCTAGGCGAGTGCTGCACCAGTGAGCTGCATCCCCAGCCCCAGGATGCTGTTAAACATTCTCACAACAGTGAATCATCCAGCTTAGAATGTCAACACTGCCAGGGTTGAGAAGCCCTGCTTTAGGTGCAGCGCCAGTATCATTTGCCATAAAAGTAAGGTAATCATAGAATAGAAGAAACCAAATTGTATTAGTGCATTCTGTCCAAACAGTGGCATATGTTAAGGTGTTAAATACACAGTAGGTCAAATGAATGCTTTTTCGTCAGTGAAATTAGTAGGATTAAAAGAGAGCTGGTAGAGGAATGCCCTTCTCATTACACGTTTCAGTTCGCCTAGTGCCGTGTCCTCTGTCACTTAAAGGTGCTTCAGATGCTGCCAAGGCTTTGGAGACAGTGGAGGCGAGGCGCCTGGCGTGGGGCGGCCTTGTGATTGGCAACCGTTGGTGCTCTCGCTGCTCTCTGGCTCCAGCCTCATGACCCTGGAAGCTAAACCTCTGCCCTGGCCCCGAGCAAGAAAGCCAGGCCCCTGGGGATGGAGTTAGTGGCTACCCTTACCCTCCCTCGATGCTTTCCTGGAGCAGGGGCTGGCTTCAGTTAGGCCCTGTAGCAGAAGGGCAGGGCACCGTGGACATTTCTAGGCCCTCCCAGCCCTCCCCTGTGTGGTGGACGCCTTCTCCCTGTCAGGGCATGGCTTGTGTTGTCTCCAGCCTGCAGCAGTGGACCCCTGCTGCCCTCCTGGGCTTTTACCTGCCTGCCTCGAGCCCAGCGTGTGCCGCCTCCGGGGCTTAGAATTCCCAGAGCTCTGTCCTTCCTTAGCCCCTTCTCTTCCTGATGGAAGCCCACTCCCAGAGTGGCGGCAGCTTCGCGCCCCCGTCTGCTGCTGTCTGAGAGGCTCCTGGCGAGTGTGCAGAGCAGCTTCTTCCTGGGAGTCTCCTGCCTCATGGAGCGTTCCCTCCAGCCCTTCTTCCTCGTGGCAGAGCTGGTCCTGGCCTGAAGCTGCGGTGGGCAGGGCGTGAGCTGGGCCAGCACCTGCCCGGCACCTCCTGGCTCGGTGTCAGTCCTGCAGGCGTGACACCTAAGTGAGGAGGTGACTGGCGGAACCTTCCCAGGGTTCCAGCTGCCTGGAGCTGATCTGTGCTAGTGATTTGCAAGGAGTGCGTTGGAGCTCAGGTTTCTTTCCCACTCGAGGGTCACATTTGGGCTTTAACGTGGCTTGACCCAAAGGCAGGCGATCCAAGTTCACTGTAAAGCTCAAGGAAGATGGAAAGGAGGCGTCAAGAGTGGCGTGGGCCTTTCAGCAGGGCTACAAGAGGAAGCACAGACACCCCACCCCTTCCTTCCAGCTTTCCTGCCAGTCATCATAGTTCACTCAGGGAACCTTCTCTGAACTCCAAAGCCTGTCGCTGCCCCGTCACTGGTTGCCTACAGACTTCCAGGGTTCCTCGGTTTGGAGTCAGAGGCCCTATCCCGAGGGAGGCTGGGTGGGTCCTCACCCCCAGGCCCTGGGTTCCCCTTGTGTGAGATGAGAGCAGTAAGAAGACGCTTGCTTTTGATCACGGAGCCTGTCAGAGACCTCTGAGGCTGACAGCCCCTCCCACCCTGCAGAGTGGCCGAGGGAGCACGGCGGGGCTGCCTGGGACCCCCGCGGGTGCAGTCCATCCTGTGTCAGCATCGGAAGGAAGGGGCGCGTGACGGGATCCTGTGCAGGGATGGGAGACAGGAGGTGTCCTCCAGGTGGGCATCTGCCCAGCCCTACTGAGCCCCCGTGTCGTCCTGCAGGAGAGTGGCAGCTCCCAGAAGGCTGGGAAGCATAGCACAGGCCTGGAGAAGCCCCACAAGACTTACCGCCTGCTGAAACGCCGGAATCTGATCATAGAAGCTGTCACCAACCTTCGCCTGATTGAGAGCCTGTTCACGTAAGCTGGCACACGCCTGCCCGTGTGTCACTCTTCCCCCAGTAGCCACCACCTGCCACAGAAAGGGCCACGGGGCCCAGAGAGAGTGTTCTCACTGTTCAGAGGGGCAGACGTGGTGGAAAGTCTGTGCACTAGACAGGGAGAAAAGGGCCGAGCAGGCCAGAGAAGTCACCAGGGCCTTTTTCCGTACCTCGTTGCTGGGAGGGGAAAGGGAGAAGCGCAGGCAGGTGTGGGCACCACTTCTAAACTCTCTCTGGAACTTGCCCTTCATGCACACGAAATCTTTGATGAAATAAACCAAAGGGATGCGAGTGGAACTGGTGTCAGGGCTGTTGGTGCTGCTGACCCTCACCGCCACCCTCCCATCATCGAGGCCCCGAGGCAGCCACTCCCCGGGAAGGGGCCTGGACCCAGCCCCAGATGAGGGTCTGCACACTGAGCAGGCTGCGCGGCAGGCAGGGGCCACCTGCGTGCAGGTCATCACTTGCTCCCGTCCTCTCTTGTTGGGGGTGGCTGCGAGCTCTGAATATCCCTCTTGGCTCTGCCATTCTGTGATCCGTGATCTGGAAATGTCACCACAGGAACTTGGTAATAGAGTGATACCATGTATCAAGAATCAGAAAGAGCTTCAGAGGCGAGGCTGCATTGCTCACCTGGATGCTCCTGGCTGGGTGTTCAGTTAGCTTGCAGGCGTGGTGGAGACAGGCCACCGTCGCCACAGCTCTCAGGCCCACTCGGCTTGCTGGTGAGAGGCTCGGCACCTTAGCTGCCGTGGAGGTGGCTTGTCTCGCCAGCTCCCCATAAGGGGTGACCCATAGTATTCCAGCCTTCCCAGCGCAGTTCTGTCCAGCGACATCCGCCGTGTCTCTGCTGCCTTGTTGACCAAGCCATGGTGAGATGGGGAACGTGAGCTGTGGTGTGGTCTTGCGGTGTCCCAGGATTCAGAAGATGATCATGGATCAGGAGAAGCAGGAGGGCGTGTCTACCAAGTGCTGTAAGAAATCCATTGTGCGGCTGGTGCGGAACTTGTCTGAGGAAGGCCTCTTGCGGCTGTATCGGACCACAGTTATTCAGGATGGCATCAAGAAGAAGGTAAGCCCCTCTCTGCCGCAGAGCCGGCCTCCTGCCGTGGGAGGTTTCCTTGTCTAGCTCCTCTTGTCCTTGCTGTGTCTCAGTTGTCCTTTATCAGTGACTGAATGTCCTGTTATGCCTCCCTGTTTGGGAAGCAGGGTTACCCCGCCTTTGTGGGGAAGCTGGAAGCAGAAAAGAACAGCAGCTTGCTTGGATCCCAGAGCAGCGGGTCATCATGAGGCGGGCATCCAGCCCTGCTGGGGAAAGGGGAGGGAAGGCGGAGTCTGCTGAAGTTCAGGAAAGCAGTGCTGGGAGAAATGAAAGAACATTTAGAAGGTGGAACGTTTGGACTGAGCAGCACCTCATTTCTGCGGAGATGGGAGGAAGCAGATCTTGGAGGAAAGATGGTGGGGACTCAGAACACTCCATCTCCCGCACCTCCCTTTGTCTGTTTCTGTAAAATTTACAGTTGGTGGCCATTCCCATAGCAGCTGTTGTGCAGCAGCTTTGCACACGTTCTGTGTCATATGTTTTCCAGGCTCAGAGTCATTTGCCACTGGGGCAGAAGGAAATGCTGCTGTGGTACTCTCTTAATTTCCTAACCTTTTTTCCTGATGCTATTTTCCATCTCTGCCTTCAAGAGAACTCTCCTTTGATACTTTGTTTTCTTAATAAGCGGGCAAGGTCATTTCTGCTTTCTCACTTCATCTTATTGCTTTGGAAATTTGTAAAATCCACGAAGTGACTTAAATGCAGTGCTCTATTGCACGTTGACAGTGCTCATCTGCTTTTACATCTGCTTTAAGCCTTTTTAATATAGAACAGTAAAGTTCCCCTTGCCCCAGCCCTCCGTCCCCAGCCGGCCTACCCTGCACCATTGTGCAGTGGCAGTGGGCCCTGGTCCTGAGCAGGAGCCTAGCCCATCTGCAGCCACTCCTCTGCTTTCTGCTGCTCTTGGGACTCACGCCTCCTCGAGTGGAGACTTTAAGTGCACCAAATCCTCCCCCAAGCTCGGACTAGGAGAGGCCGCTGCCTCGGGGGTGCAGCTGTGTCTCCCGCTGAACTTTGGGGCTGTTCCACCAGCTGTGCCAGAGGGGCAGGCAGAGATGGAGCGAGGGACGAGGCCAGCAGCTCACCACCCGGGGTCACACAACCTGAGAACACAAGCGCCCCGGGAGGGAGCCCCAGGCCACGGGGCGGCTCTGCGGTGCCCGCTCTTCCAGCCGAGAGGCCGCATGAGTGAGTGTGCATCCCTGACCGGCCTCGGAGTTAGAGCGGAGCTCTGTTCCTTGCAGGGCTTGCTCTGGCACCTGGGCGGTGCTGCCTGTGGTCTCCCACTGGCTGGAGCCCAGGCAGGTGCATCAGCCTGCACCTTGCTCCCGCGTCCTGCTCCCACCATGCAGCCTTTGAGACGTCTACTGGGCTGGGGAAAGTGAGGAGCTACGAATGCTGTTATTTGTGCTTTGCTGTTAAATACTCCAGGATGTCACCTAACTACCTCATTTTGGTCTGTGCGGAGGTGGTTGTGGGGGTCCCCCCTCACAGATGGGGAGTGGGAGAGACTGAGCCGAGCAGGCCTTTAGAGGCCCCTTTTAGACCCTGCTGCTTGTGTGCTATTGCCACACCTGTCTAAACCCATTTTCGCTACAAAGCTGCTGGCCAGGGTTGACACCCAGGAAATCCCACATTGCTGTCTTCTGCCGAAAAAAGCCTTGGCTCTCCAGGGACCCGGCCACGCCACCATCCTCAGCACCCACAGCCTGCTGCTCCCCCGCCTCCACCCCTCTCTGCTGCCGCTTTCCTTGGTTCATCGCAGGCTCTCATGAGCCAGGAGCCACCTGAACGGTTCTGCCTCAGTTCCCAGGGAGGGAGAGGCCAAAGCAGCTCTCAGTCCTTTGCCAGTTTGTTGAGGTGTGGCCGATGGGAAAGCCCCTCGACTTCCGTGATGGACAGGTGGACGTCCACGGGACTCCAGAGCAGCGGTGGGAATGCTCAGACAGTGGGGTGGGTGTGAGTAGCAGCCCCCAGGTAGCAGTGGAGCCCGGCAGGCTGCGATGGCCCAGCTAGGGAACTGCAGGGCAGAAGGCTGTCTGTGCAGGGCCCGACGCTCCGTCACTTGCAGGTTGTGATGCCAGCAGCTATAACAGCAACATGTTTTGCTTCGCTCTGCCAGTGGTCTTTGGAGAATGTCAGTAAAAACAGGCAGTGCTGACGTTCCACTTAGGAACCTGCCTCTGGGGCTGCAGCTCCCTGAGCTCTGCCCTTTACCTCTGGGGTGCCCCCGCCTTTCCCTACAGGTGGATCTGGTTGTGCACCCATCCATGGACCAGAACGACCCTCTTGTGAGAAGTGCCATCGAGCAGGTTCGCTTCCGGATCTCTAATTCAACCACAGCAAACAGGCAAGTGGCAGTGCCCGCAGAGCCCGAGGTGAGGCTGCCAGCTGAGGCCATCTTCACAGAGCCCCTGTCCTGCTGGCAGGAAAACAGTTCCTGGTTTAGGGTGTGTGGTTCATGATCCCCTCATCTAAACAAGGGTTAATTTCTAGATTCTTTAAGCAAAACAAATCCTTGTGTTCTTAATTCTAGTCTATATGAGGAGTATGTTAAGAGCGTTGCCATCACAGGCCTGTGATGTATGGAACTCACCCTCATAATGTCTCAGAATGATTCCACTTGGCTTCCCAGGCTCCTGTCTAATTTAGTTTGTAAACCACTAATGGGCCAGGAGACAGCTTGCTGGTGGCAGCGGGCAGCTCTCAGCTGGATCTAAATGGGAGGCGGCCCTGGCTTGTGTGGCCGGCTGTGCATTTCATTGGCCATGTAGATTTGGGGTCAGTTGCCAATCAGTTTCTCCCAAGGTTCCCGACCTCTGGCATCTCTAAAGGCACTGGCTCCTGGTCTCACAGGCAGCAGCTGCCCTGCTGGGGTGGCCCTTGGCCCACACTGCCCACCACCCCCAGGGCTTACTGACTGACACCCACTTTGCTTCGGTGCATGGTCTGCCTGAGCCTGGGGCCGCTGAGTTTGAACCCACTGCACCCCCCCACCCCATTCTGGCCCCAGTGCCGCTGTCTTTGCTCCCAGGCTGGGGTTTGCCCAGTGCATGGTCACACTTTGTGCTCGGACTGCAGGGGGAAGGTTCCCCAGCCTCCAGCACCTCCAGAGGAGGTAGAAGAAGAAAGTCAAGGACAAGAGGAACCAAGCAGATCGGGAGACTGTGACATGAATGCGTCCTCTAAACCAGAGAGTGGGCGGGGGAAAAAGACCGATGAGAAGATGGGCGTGACCCCGATGAAAAATTACCACCCTGTTGTAGGTAAGAAGCAACTCTGCCTGTGTTGGAGTGTGAGTTTGCTGTTTGCATGCCGATGTGTAAGTCCCTGGGAATCCTGCTGCATCCGAGCCCTGGCTGCAGGCAGGCAGGCAGCTCGGAATCGCTGGCCTCCACTTTCCTCTCTGTCCTGCAGACCTCACAGGGCATCGAGAAACAAAGGTGAAGTGATGCTAAATCCCATGGTGAGGTCTGCTTTACAGAGACGAACTCCTGCTGCTCAGTGCCTGGGTCTGGGACACCTTGTGAGCCCCAGCAATCCTCTCCCGTCTCCACCCCACCAAGCCCCTGCCACTGTCCCAAGCTCTGTGTCGGCCCACTGTGCCTGCCCTGTTGCCTTGTCCACTGGGCCCCACACCTTCCTCTGTCACTGAGGGGATTCAGGGTACAGTTGTTTGTGTCAACAAGGAAATACACTTCTTAGGAGAACTGCGACTGGGGTGTTTGGCGCAGTCCATGTTGTGCCAGAAGCCCTCACCCTGGGGCCCTCGTGACCTCCTTCTCCACCACACTCCTGGCCCCACCCCCCATCGCTCGGCTTCCTGCCCTGCCTCCCAGCGTGCCAGGCAGGGACCATCAGAGGTCCTCGCCTTTGTCCTGGACACGTGCCCACGTGTCTGCAGGGCTCAGCTCCCAGGCCCAAGGCAGGGTGGCTTGTCCCAGCCTCTGGGGTCACACCCTCAGCCCTGCTTTGCTTTTTCTGCACCAGCAGTCTCCATGTGATGTGCTATTTCAGGTGTTACTTTTTGACTTTGCCCACTAGAAAGTAGTTCGAAAGGTGTGAGAATATTTGCTGCCCCTGTCCTGCCCCGGGCACAGTGCTGCTCTGTGCCATCCTTTGGGAGGATTGAGCTGATTCCTCTTCTCGCTTCAGTTCCTGGCCTTGGGCGCTCTCTCGGGTTCCTGCCCAAGATGCCTCGCCTGCGGGTGGTGCACACGTTCCTCTGGTACCTGATCTACGGGCACCCTGCCTGCTATGTAATGGAGAAGCCAGTGTTGTTTGGCAGTGAGAGGAGAGGCGGCAGGCACCCCAGAGGTGACTGGGATGCCTCGGATCTCAGGGACAATCCAGACGGTGTCACCTGGGAGACTGAGGTGGAGCTGTCCACAGAGACAGGTGAGATGCCTGGGCCTGCACCTGCACCTGGGGCAGAGGGGCACAGGCCCCCAGAGAGGAGCACCTGCACACCTGCGTCCCACGCGATCCCTGAGGGAAAGGCCCTAACCCCAGGCTCCTGCTCCGCCCTCCTGGCTGATGATGAGCGAGCAGGGTTTTGTCCAAGTTGGCCTTGGGGGAGGCATTCCCGTGGGGAGATGGTCTCAGCATGAGTGGGGCCTCTGCTGGGAGTGACTCCGGCTGTTCTCCTAGTGTACGTGGACGACGCCTCGTGGATGCGCTTCATCCCTCCCATCCCGGTCCACAGGGACTTTGGCTTTGGCTGGGCGCTCGTCAGTGACATCCTCCTCTCGCTGCCCCTCTCCATCTTCGTCCAGATTGTGCAAGTCAGCTACAAGGTGCGGGCAACTCCAGGGTGCCCTCCGCTCACCAAGGGGATGGAGGGCGGGAGGGCCAGTCAAGGGAGAATACCCCAGCGATTATTCACTCTTTTAGACTCAGCGAAATCAGAGTAGGTTAGAACTGGTAAGGGAGGGAACAGGATGGAAAGAAGGGAAGGTGGGTGGGTGGGTGGATGGTGAAAGTATAAACCTGAGACACTTATTCTTCTAGGCAGGTCATCGTTAGGTGGACGGGCAGGGAAGGAGGGCAGTGACTGCTTAGTATGTAGGCGAGCTTGGTGGAAAGACAGTTATGGTGTAATAGTAAAACATAGGTTTTTTTTTTTTTTAAGGAATTTAATAGACATAGAAAAAGGAAAAAAATAGGAGTTATCCATAATCTAATCACTCAGAGTGATAATCACTTAATATTTTTGGTATATTTTCTTTTAAACTTTATTACTATGTTTTATGTGTGTGTAAAATGTCCCTTTTTGAAAAACTGAATTGAGATTATATTTACTTTCTCATCTGTTCTTTCTACTGAGTAATATATCATTTTCCACACCGTTATTTTAAAACTTGATATTAAATATTTTCGTAGTTTCCTTAGGGCAGGGTAGAACCAGAGTTGCTGGCTTCAAGGGGAATGAATGCCTTCGTCTTTTTTTCTTTTACTATAAATAAATACATTCCCCTCTTGCTCCTGGGCAGTGTTAGCAGTGGGTTGCCCTCAGCAGAGGGGCAGAAGGCAGGTGTGGAGGCCCAGGGCAGAGGCTGGGAGGTCGTGGGAGTTACTCCGGGAGCCTCCTGATATTCCTCGGCCTCTGGCTGAGCGGAACCTGCCCTCGCCCTGCAGGTGGACAACCTCGAGGAGTACCTGAACCACCCTCTGAAGCAGCACACGCTCATCCGCTTCCTCCCCAGGCCCATTCGGCAGCAGCTCCTGTACAAGAGGTGAGCCCTGTGGTCAGGCTCGGATGCTTACTCTCTGGGAAGAAGAAAGGGCATCTGCCTTCCGGGTCACTAGCCCTCCAGGTTGTCGCCCACTTAGCCGCCGGAGAAGTATGAACTGGCACATTTTATTGCTTGGCTTTGAGTAACAAGTCAAGTCAAATCTGCTGCCAAGGCTGCAGTTATTGGAGCATGTTGTCTTTGGTTTTGCTCTTTTCCTGCTGGTACATTTACTTTCCAAAACAAGCTGTAAGTGTGGGTCACCGCCTCTGCTGGGTGGTGGTTGGGCGGGGCCCTGATGCAGCCCCATCCCGGGGAGCGGCACAGTGGGAACCCCTCTGCTGCAGGCGGTACATCTTCTCGGTGATGGAGAGCCTGCAGAGACTGTGCTACATGGGGCTACTGCAGTTCGGCCCCACGGAGAAGTTCCAGGACAAGGACCAGGTAAGGCCTGGAGCCGGAGGGTGGGGTCCCAGCAGCCAGGCCCGCCCTGGCCCCTGGTGCTCCTCTCCCCACCGGTGTCTCCTGCAGGTTTTTGTCTTCCTGAAGAAGAAGGCAGTCATCATTGATACTACCATCTGTGACCCCCATTACAACCTGGCCCACAGCAGCCGGCCCTTCGAGAGGCGGCTCTATGTGCTGAACTCCATGCAGGATGTGGAGAGCTACTGGTTCGATCTGCAGTGCGTCTGCCTCAACACCCCGCTAGGTACTGTCATCCTGCTGGGCCCCCGCTGTCCGCTCCTTGCTGTGTGATCAGGAGGCTGGAAGTCACGCAGCAGAGGAGGGATTTTCACACTGCTCCCTAGGCCTAGGGTTCCCTTAGAAGAACGATGGCTTTGAAGTTGAGGGGCTCCGGGGTGGGGGTGCCCAGTTAAGGGCAAGCACTTTGCCTTCATTTGCAGGCTTGTTGAGCAGGTATTTATCACGCACCTACTACGTGTTTTTCCTGTGCCTGGCTGTGCAGTGATAAGAATGCAGTCTGGGGCCAGGGGTTTAGCTCAGTGGTTCCGTGGCCCGCCCCGCAAGCACAAGGACCCGAGTTCGATCCCCAGTACCAAAAAAGAGAATACAGTCTGTCCCTGCCCTCATGACACTCATGTCCGAGTGCGGAGGAGACATCTCAGCAGAGCCCTGGTGTGCAGTGCGTGCTGTGGGACGGCACTCGGGGGAGGTTGGTTCCAGGGCAGTTGAATGGGGTGCTCACGACAGCCTTTCCTTTGCACCGAGCCCTGCAGGGATGCGAAAGGGCACTCCACGCAGGGGGGAAGGCACGTGCAAAGGCCCTGAGGGCATGTTGGGCAGAGTGAGGCCAGACTTGGGGCCCCTTGTGGGGCACAGTGAAGACTCTGGGGCTGTTTGAAGAGCAGTGAGAAGCCATGGGTGCAGCTCTCAGCTCTTCCTGGCTGCCGGGGAGAGAGGACTGGGGCAGAGCGGAAGCAGGGAGGCCGGTGAGGGGTGTGGCTCGTCGGAGCAAAGTCGGGCTGGGCCCTTGCGAAGTCTGCCCTTGCGTGCCGTGAGGGCTGGGTCTGGGGAGTTCGGAGAGGACCAGTGAGCCTTGTGCGCCGGCGGCTGAGCTCGCGTTGCTTCCCTCCACTCCGCTGACCACTCTTGCTTCACTCAGTATCTCTGGGAAAGCCTGTCTGGGACTCCACTTGGCATCTTTCTTTGTTCTGTGGCTTCCTTGAGCACTTCCCGGGGTGTCGCGGGGTGCGCCGTCCGCAGGTGACACCCTGCAGATGCTACTGAGTGAACGCAGGGGCTTGTGGGAAGCGCTGGGGCTGCCACTCCAGTGCCGATTTCTTCTGAGCTGCTCCCTTCTGCAGCTGGTCTTTCCTTGCCACCTCCACCAGGAGAAAAAGGATGCCACATGCGGTTTGCACCTGGAAGAGGAATTGCATTCTGTTACTCCCATCACAGCCGCAAGATCATGACTGGACTCGGGTTTTTGCAAAGCAGCTGTCACATACTTATTTGGGAGAATTATTTAGTGCCCACAGGGTAATGAGCCCTTGGGTTTAGAACTGTTAAGGGGTTCAGACAAGTTTTAGTGGTGTGCTGCTTAGAACCCTTTGGCATCCAGTAGTGATCAGGCTTTTACCATCCTAGATTTTAAAAGTGCCCTGATTCCCCCATATTTTATACCTAGATAAAAATTTGTGAACCAGCATGTAATTTGCATCCAAGTTTTCAGGCCTGACAGTTGGTGAATGTCCACCCCTTTTAGCGTTCATGAGCAAAGGTGTTGAAGGCTTCTTGCTCTGTTAATCAGGCATCATCCGGCCCTTCAGCCACCACACATTTGAAGTGCTCTTGCCCCAAGGGGTGGGGGAGAGCATTGTGTAGTGAGACATACTCATGTTGTAGAGCGTGTGCTGCTCACACACCAGCTTGCGCAAAAGTCACGCCAGGAGCATGTTACAGTGCTGTTTGGCCGAAGTCTGTGCGTGGTGCATCTGGGATGGATACATGGAAGTACTCAGGTTGGGTGGTGACCTTGGGCAAGCTCTTTGTGACCTCCCCTGCCCTTAGTTTCTTTGTTTCTAAGCCACAAATGCCACCATCACCATACAGTGCTGCAGGGAACCTGAGCAAGGGGTCAGGTGCAGTTCCAGCGGGGAGGGGCCCAGCCCCACCGGCCAGGCCTCGGTGCTGTCTCACCAGAGAGGCCTTCGGCAGCTGGGTTTTATACTATCTTACAAGAAATGTAATTTCCTTTATAGCGGAGTAACAGACAGTAACTCCTTTAGTATAACAGTGCACCTCTTGAGCTGCCCCAGGAGCTGAGAGGGGCCAGAGAAGCAGACGCGCCCTCAGCTGTCTGTCCAGATCACTTCCTCCCCTGAGCCCCGTCGCCACCAGCAGGTGTCATCATTTCTGCCATGCTGGCCCAGGCCAACTGCACGGGTCTCCCGGGGGTGTCCAGCCAGGAGGGCCGGCTGTCCTTGGGCGGCCTGCCTGCTGGCCCTCACTGTCGCCCGCAGTCCAGCCCCTCTCTGGATGGGAGCGTTCCTGCACACTGCAGTCACTCTTCTCAGCAGCCAGCGCCCAGCGGCCCAGCTCCCTGCTGCTCTCCCGAGCTTGGTTTGCTTTGGTTTCTAGGTGTGGTGCGCTGCCCAGCCGTCCCGAAGAACAGCGCCGACCACGCCAGTGACGAGGAGGGCAGCCTGCGGAAGGAGCAGGAGAAAGCCGTTGACAAGCACAACCTGGAGCGCAAGTGCGCCATGCAGGAGTACACCACGTGCGTCCCCCAGGGCGTCCCCCCAGGACAGGCCTGCCACCGTGCTGGTCCTAGCTCCCCCAGCTCCCCAGTCTGGCTGGGGACGTCGGACCAGAAAGGCCCGCATGGGACAGAGGTGTGGCTGTAGGTCAGACCTCACCCTAGACATGCTTTACTTAGCGCCCTTTTATTTTATTTGTGTATTTATTTATTTTTGGTACTGGCCTTGAACCCAAGGCTTCAGCTACATCCCCCAAGCCCCTTGTTATTTTAAGACAAGGTTTCGTTAAGTTGCCTGGGCTAGGCTCAAGCTTAAATCCTCCCACCTCGGGCCCCCAGGGTACTGGGATTACAGGTGTGCATCACCATACCTGGTTCCCTTTGTTTTAAAAAATTCCATCTTTTTTTTTTTGGTCAAAATTTAGAAGTTGGGGAAAATCTGGATTTTTTTCTTTTAAACTTGTAAAGAAGTGGCAACCTGCTAACACTACTCTGAATTCCTCACTTCTCCTTGTTGGGTATCTTTCCGGGAAGTAGGTGTTGATTATGCAGGAAGTAGACACCCCACCCCACCCTGTGGGGTCTGTTTACCTTTCAGGGGCAGCCGGGAGATCATGGATGAAGGCCACATCCCTGGCGACGGGTTGGGAGCCGCTGGACTCGATTCCAGTTTCTATGCACACCTGAAACGCAACTGGATCTGGACCAGCTACATCATCAATAAAGCCAGAAAGGTGGGCTCCGGGGTGTCACAGGGCTGTTGTCACCGCCCACCATCATCCTGTCCCTTTATGGCACGTGACATCTGAATTGATAAAACCAAAGGTGACCAGAGGCCTGAACGTTTGCTTATGTTCTTATTGAAGGTGCATTAGGTAGGCCCCAGAAATGTCTCCCTGGCTCATTTCTGTCCCTGTGGGTTCTGTCTTATTCTGTGACTCAAGTATTCCTACAGAAGAGTCCTCTAAGAGGGCCACATGTGGGGACAGTGGCTGAGGCAGCTGGCTCCTCCATGCAGCCACTTGGGCTCCTGGGGTGGTGGAAGCTGCTCCTCACCCAGGGCTGTTTGTCTTAGGAGAACATCACTGCAGAGAACGGGCTCACAGTGAGGCTCCAGACGTTTCTGTCCAAGCGCCCTTTGCCACTCGGAGCTGCAGGTATGTGTGCCGGGCACCCACCCGGCAGGTGGCTGTGAGGTCCAGGGCCAGAGTGACGCCTGCACCTCCTGCTTGGCTCCTGCAGGACTCTCCTGAAACGCTGCATCATGTGCTTCTTCCCAGGCAGTAGTAGGCTGCCCCTCTGGGGGGAAGCGAAAGCGGGCAGTGAGCTCTCTGCCCACCGGGAGCAGTTTGGGATGGAGCGGGAGCCCACACTGGGCCGAAGCCGAAGGGTGAAGGGCGGCAGAAACCAGAAGCGGAAGCGGCTGAGGAAGGACCCTGTCAGGAGGACCAAGCGGAGGAGAAAAGGTTCGTGTGGGTCGTGGATGTCCAGGCCCAGCCTGCGCTCAGGGCCCCTCTGTGCTCAGATGCAGGTCGCCTCATTCCCCAGTCCCGAGCAGGACCCTGTGGCAGCCTCAGGCTTCCCTGCTCGACCCTGTCCTCTCTGCCTTTTTGTCTCTCGGGGCCTTTCCTTTAGTAGTTCTTCTGTTCAGATTTCTAACTTTACCAGCTGAAAAGTCCTCATCACAGTGAGCCAGATGCTGCTCTGCCCTTCGCTCACCTGTGCTATCACATTGATGCTCATCAGGCCAGAGTCAGAGCCAGGTTAGCATGAGCTCCACCTTGGAAGCTGGGAGTCATCTAAGCCTGCAGAATCTCTTCACATCTGATGCAACCCCACCTGTGGCTTATATTTGCCGTTGTGGTTTCATCAAATCCTCCTGCCTCAGCCTCCCGAGTGCTGGGATTACAGGCATGCCCCACCATGCTTGGCTTTCTGAGGAGTACTTAAACAGAAGGGCACAGGGTGGTTAGGGTGTCAGTGTTTGGAGAATGGAATGGCTCTAGCTAGTTCATCAGAGAAAACAGTGCTTAAATAGAAACCTGCTTTTATGGTTTATTGGCTGGTCTGGCTAACACTTCATGTGCCATCCGGTGCAGCGGCCTCCTTCATTTAGCCCACTGCCGATACGTGTGAGGCCACTTTAGCTCAAAGATGGGCATCTGTCTCCGGGCAAACTGTGGCGGGGGTGTCATCTTGAATTCGGATTTCCTTACCTCACCGGCATCTCCCTCTGTTGGGAAACACTAAACCAGCGGGAGTCAGTAGTGGTGTGTGGAGAGGTCCCGGAAAGCTCCAGGTGAGGACTCAGGTGCGGCTCCCAGGTCTGCATGAGCGATGGAGTGGCGATAATGACACATCTGTCCCGTGAGGTTGCTCCAGAGTATTGCCCTGGTTGTGTGTGGATGTACATGTGTGCATACAGCCTCAGCCAGCGGTGGCAGTGAATGACCTGTAGTGCTGCCAACTGCTATTATGAGTTGGCCACTGCTTTGTGCCAAAGACCATGGTAGGCATTTTGTACCCACTCGTTCAGTGCCGGGCACGGGACGCTTGGTCCCCTGGGCCACAGAGCTCATCACCTCCCAGAAGGCCCGAGGCTCCACTGTCGATGGTCTCACTTGCTCAGCGGCTGCACCGAGTGTCTGGGTGTCTGTGTAAGGCACCCTCAAAGGATGTAGCATCCTGGTGGGGGCTGCTGGAGATTGGCAGATAGCTAGAGCCCGCGCTCAGGCCGCCCAGCTGCCACCCAACAGTCTAGCTGAAGTTCAGCGGCAGAGGAGGAGGAAGCCTGTGGGGTCGAGTCTTCTGCGGTCCCTCGGGGTGAGGGTGGACGCAGTGAGAACCTGGTACCATGAGCTTGGCCAGGCTGACAGCTGTGGCCTCCACTCTCCACGCGACAGCTCCAGGACAGCTGTTGGAGGACCCCTCAGCTCTCCCCTTGGTGATTCTAGAGGAGCTGCCAGGAGCCAAAATCAAAAGGCCGCGCTACCACGACGAGGCCGACCAGAGTGCCCTGCGGAGGATGACGCGGCTGCGTGTGTCCTGGTCCACGCAGGAGGACGGGCTGCTTGTGCTCTGCCGAATCGCTAGCAACGTCCTCAATTCCAAGGTACCCACTGTGCTCCGCCTCCCGGAGCCCCCGCCCTGGGACTGCTCCCTGCATCATCAGGCATTTCCTAGACCACTACTGCTCACACCGTTCCCAGCTCGCTCATTTCTCCCAGCCTTCAGCTGAGTACATCGAAGTTTCTGCCTCACTGCAGGCAGAACAGCCCAGCGCTGTCCTGTCTCTTCCCTGGGAACCTAACCCTTTCTTGTTCCTCTCCTCTTCCCTGGCTGCCTGAGCAACACGCTGTACCTTTCAGCAGCTGCTCATCGCGTCTGGGAAGGCTTCACTGAGCCTGCCCAGGGGAAGCGGCTGCCTGGTCTCCCTCTGACCCCTGGACTCTTGCTTCCCGCGGGGCTCTGTTGCTTCTGCAGCTTGGTGGCCACTGGAGTGGCTGTTCCTTACGGCAGAGACACTTGACCCAAGGCACCACCCTGCCCCATAGAGGCTGAATCCGTGTGGACCGGTGACGGAGCGTTTGCCCGGCTTCCGCACCACAGCCCCACACTCGCCCTGCCCTTTCCGCCTGTGTCCCGGTCCTTGGCCCTCTGTCTAGCAAGCACTTCCTTCCTGACGCCCCTGAAGGTCCTGCAGCCCAGCCCAGTTCATCTCCCACCGAGTCTTCCCAGCGTGTCACTGCCTGCTGGGCTCAGTGTTCCTACCCTTGGTGCTCTCCTGGTCGCCTCAGTCTGCAGCAGGGTATGGCCAGATGTCCAACCAAACTGCTTCACAGAGGGCACCAGCGCGTGAGCTCTGCCGCTGTCCTGTCCCAGGCCCTGCAGGCCGTCATGCAGCCAGGCAGAGTAGGTTAGGTAGAGGCGGCTCTGAGAGCCGGGCGTCCTGGTCTCTGGCGTGGCCCATGATGCTCAGCACCTGCAGGCCTTTAGCTCCCGTCCTGGCCCATTTATCCCTCCTTCTCACCCTGTCGCCACCCTCGCTCGGGGAAAGCCTGCACGGTGACCATGGCGCCCCGATTCTGTCCCCCGCACTCGCAGTGGTGTTTCCATCAGTGCTGACAGTGGCGCTCAGGAGGGGCCTCCGCACCCCAGTCCACCTTCCGGAGTTTACAGCATCCCGTGGGTGCATCTTGTTCTTGGGCCGTAGGGAAAGTCTCCTGTCCTTAAGCACCTTCCTGTGTGTGATTTTCTGAGGTGTTCGGTCTGCTAACTGGGCTCCTTCTCTACAGTGTGACGTGGAGCATGCAGGGCAGAGCGGCACTGGGCTGTGAAAGGCAGGGCACTCTGAGCAGTCAGTGCCCTGTAACCTCCCAGCTATCGGCCTTCCAGTTGGTGCCTCTCACCCCTGAGGGACCCTCCGCTGGGCACTGGCCAGAAGACACGCTTCCCACCGGACACGGCGCAGGCCCAGTTAGCGTGGCTCGGCAGACAGGGGAGGGACAGCCCTGAGTACTCTGAGGAGACAGGCTCAGTAGGACACATTTTTTCCATTAGTTCCCTGTAATGTGGGCCCCATGGATAGTGATTTTCTTTCCTTGCTGTCTCTGCAGGTGAAGGGCCCGTTTGTCCCCTGGCAGGTCGTGCGGGACATCTTGCATGCCACCTTTGAAGAGTCTCTGGATAAAACATCTCACTCCGTTGGACGAAGAGCTCGCTACATTGTGAGGAACCCACAGGCCTATATGAACTACAAGTAAGCCACATTTGCAGCTGGCTCTCTCCAGGGCGTGACTGTTCCAGCTCTTCCAGACCATTCTCTTCTCCTTTTTCACGTGCGCTTGGCTTTCACCTTTGCTAATGTGAAATAGGACGAAGTGCACCAAGCCTGCCCGCAGGCTGTCGGGTTGCTGCAGTTTGGGAGTAGGATCATCCTTGATCAGTCAAGGGCCAGGCATGATTCTGCGTGCTTCCTCGAACTGGGCTTTAGAGAACCTTGTGAAGTAGAGAAAGGGACAGGCTCCCTGGCTGCAGGACCCTGAGCATCATCCGAGTGTGCGTGGTGAGGGCAGACGCAGAGCAGAGCTGCCCCGCGTGACCGCATAGCCGGAGTGTGTGTCCCACAGCCTATCTGCTACGTGAGGCTGCCCACCGGCTCCCCCTCGCAGGCCAGGCAGGGGAAGCACTGCTGGCCCCACCGGACCGTCCTGCAGTTCCCTCCCCAGGAGGACTTGAGTGGGAGGGCAGAGAGTGTGCAGCCAGCATGCAATCAGGACGTGGGGGAGTGAGGGGAGGGCGGGGCCCGCCACTTCCACACTGCTGAGGGCTGGCCTGTGTCGGTTCTAGGCCACACACTCCTGTGCCACCCAGACCCTAGGGAGAGATGGGCCCGGCCCAGCCCGGCCCGTGGAAGAAGCCCAGCTCTGTGCAAGGGTCCCGCCCTTGGCACCAGTGTCAGGCAGCACCTTGGCCCCCACCAGATGCTGGTAGCCCCTCTCTGCGTCCCGATGACAGCCCCTGCAGAGCGGAATTGCCCGAGGAGAGCCAGGGGCTTCCTGGGTGGAGCTGCTTTCCCTGTGCACAGATAGCGACTTTCCCAGCTGTCTGAAAGAGCTCTTCCCGTTGGGAAAGTAGCCCCGGAGCCACACTCTCTTCCCTCTCGAGGCCACACGAGCCTGTGGAGAGAGGGTGTGAGTGTCAGGGTGACAGCGACCTGGCAGAGATGAGGTCTGAAATGGAGGCTCCCTGTCCCCAGCTGATGCCCTTGCTCTCCCCAGCAGTAGCCCAGAGGGCCCTAGCGTTAGAGGCCCCAACTTCATTCTCAGGGCCCGATGAGGCTGTCTCCAAACCGGGGAAGCAGTGATGCCCAGAACAGCCACACCTGTCCTGTCACCCTGGCCTTGGGGTGTGTGACCTCAGCAGTCAGCAGGTCCCTTCACCCCGCTAAGCTGTTAAATGGAGTGACAGTGCTGCTTGGGACAGGACTTGGGGAGATAGCAGGCACCCCCTCCTGTGTGTATCTGACCACTTACACATACACACTGTCTTACACCTCCCTTGGTCCTGGCCCAACCCCTGTTAAGCCAGGGAATGGAGAAGGCTGATGTTCTCCGGGAAGACAGAGGCTCCGAGGAGCCCTGGGCAAGGTGTGAGCAGGGACCAACCCGACTTCTTTCAGGTTTGGCTCACCCCGAGTCGGTTGTTTCCAAAAGCTCCTGTCATCCAGCAGGAGCTTAAGTAGATCGCAGTCACAGTTAGCCAAGGCCAGACGTGTTAGGGCTGAGGTCTCCTGGTGTCTGAATCCTCGGCTCCATCTTTGTCTTCCTATGCAGGGTTTGCCTGGCTGAGGTGTACCAGGACAAAGCACTGGTTGGCGATTTCATGAACCGAAAATGTGACTATGAGGACCCGAAGGTAGGCCCCATGCAGGAGCAGGCCCAGCATGCTTTGAAAGCTGGTGTTGAGGTCCTGGCTGGGTCCTGGGGGTTCCTAGTGCCTTTGCCAGCCCCCAAAGCACGGATGCTTATCTTGCTTATTTGGGAAATCTGCATGTCAGTCCTTTGGCTTTGGACTTCATCTGATCTGGCTCCAAGCCCCTGTTTCTAAAGAGGCTTTGGATCTGACATGCCACTTTGAAATGCTGCTGCCTCTCGGGCCCATTTGGTTGAGAAAATAAGACAGCTGTTTAGAAGTTTCAAGCAGCCACACTTCTGGAAAGCTGCTTCCTGAGCTTGCTGTCCCATGGTGGCTGACAGGGAAGGAAGCTCTGCTGCCGGCCCAGTCTGCTCGGCCATCCCTCCCTGAGCTGGCCCGGCTCTGCTGCGCATGGGTCAGGCCTGCCGCCCTCCCTGTGAGGGAGCTGAGTTGGATAGGCAGAGAAGTAGCTGGCTCCTGCCATACAGTGCAGCCAGCTCCCGTAGGGGAAGGCACAGGCCTATGAGGGCACCCAGGGGTATCCGGAATGCTCTTGGGTGCAAGCCACGCAAGCCTCAGCCTCACGGTGACTTAGGACTTGGTTTCCCCAGCTGCCAAGTGGCTGGGAGGTGGCAGTGCTGCCCACGGGCCGGTGCATAAAGCAGGGACGTCAGTGGTGCCCAGTTCATTCTGTCACTCTCCATCCTTAGTGGTCACCGGTCCATCCTGTATCAGTCACCCTGCACTGCAGGCCGACTCCCAGAGCTGAGGGTTCGCCACGTAATCTCAGGGCAGGCAGAAGTGGGGAGAGGGGCTGCCCGGGGCCCGCCTTTCCCAGCAGACCCTGGATGGCTGGGTACAGATGCCAGTGCAGGGACAGAGGGTGCAGAGATGCTTGACCACTGGGTTCCAGGAGGCCCAGGGCTTGTCTCCCGACCAAGTCTGCTGACCGCACTCGGAGCAGGCATGCTGAGGCTTCTCAGGTGCTCAGCACTGCAAGGAGAGAAAGGCGGATGCACTGGGAGCAGATGCAGCAGGGCCCAGTGCACTGGCACAGCTCTGGGCCCCTGTCTCAGAGCCGAGTGGACAAGGCTGTTTATGAGAGCGGCCACTACGGATCAGTTGGGAGGCACAAGGGTGGGAGGCCAGTAGGAGCTGCGCTGAGATCGGGTCAGGACAGGCAGCAGGTGCAGGAGGGGACGGGTGTGCGTCCTCCAAGGGAGCGGGGCCTGAGGAGGGGAAGGAGCCCAGCTTCCACGGCTGCCCGAGGACCTGGACCCAGGAAGCACGGTGACAGGGGCAGCAGGGGGCTGCGGGCAGGTACGGGGAGCGTCTGGGGAGCCCGTGGGCCGGGAGAGCAGGCCACAGCGTGCTGTTAGCCCAGGGGCTGCGGACTCGGGACGCACTGATGGACGTGGGCCGCCTCCTGTGTCGGCTTCCTCACATGTGACCGCTCTGGTCTTGGGGACACAGGGAGGCCGAAGCAGGGGTTAGGGCTTCTAGGGCGTGGCTGCTGTGGGCGTTTGTCACCAGATGTTCCTCAGTACGTCTTCAGAAGCCTCCTTCAGGAAAAGAAAGGCTCAGTGTTTCCCTCTCTTGGGGAAGGTTTGCGCCAAGGAGTTTAAAGAGTTTGTGGAGAAGCTCAAAGAGAAGTTCAGTTCCGCTCTGAGGAATCCCAACCTCGACATCCCAGACACGATGCAGGAGCTGTTCGCGAGGTAGGTTCCCTGGGCGGTTCCTCCAGGCCCTCCGGAGGAGGCCGAGGCCGGCTGGGCAAGACTGCGACCCCTGCCTTGCTGGCCCCCATGTGGCTCTGCGGGACTCTCCGGGACCGCGGGTCTCCCATGGGGCTTCCGGCCCCTCGCGATCCTCCTCCCGCTGGGTCCCTCTGCCGGCCTGTCAGCCTTTGTCTGCTAGCCGGCCTTTCGCTGAGTTTTCTCATTCTGCATGAGGACATTCCAAGCTGTAAATAGAGGGGCCCACCCAGGGCCACTGCCAGCTGCTGCAGGGGCCATGTCCTGTGCGGGCCCAGTGCCCCAGGAGGAGCCTGCGCCTCCACTCAAGCGCGGGCCCAGGGCGTGACCATGGGCGCCCTGCCTCCCTCCAAAGCCCGCTCCCTCCAGCTCAGCCCCTGAGATTCTGGACAGCGTATTTGGGTTTCAACACAACTGTGAAAATGTAAAGTCTTCGGTTCTCAGCCTCATCCCAATGTCCCTCCCTTCTCCCCGCCGCCCTGATGGAAAAAGACCCTTGCCCGATATTTCTGAGCTTCTTCCTGTGTGGGCTGGGGTTCGCTGGTCGGTCCTTCTGTGACCCGCATGTGCCTGTGCTCCCTGCATTTCTGTTGGAGAGCTCGCTCTTCCATCCTTTGGCACGATGTGAGTGCAGTGTCCGCCCCGCATCAGGCCCGGTGAGTGACTGGTCATTTTGCAGTTGAACCCTTCAGCTGTTCTCCAGGTTTTGTTTTTGTTTTTGCAGTAGAGCAGTGCCCAGAATTCCCAAACAGAGTGATTTATGTTCGCCATGGAGGTGTTTCAGCGGACCACTTGCCTATTTGTAATTTATGTCCCCATATATTATCAGTAAAGTTTAGGGCAACTTTTAGTTCTAAAAGAAGACAATTTTTCCCGGGATGTAGCTCAGTGGCACTGTGCCTGCCTGGCAAGCTCAAGGTCCTGAGTTCCATTCCCAGTACCGAAAAAATAAATAAATAAAAGAAGACAGTTTTAAAAAGGTTTTCAAAGGAGAGCTCACAAACTGTTTAGGAAGGGTTCCGGCGCCTGCCTTGCAGGCACAAGGTTCCGAGTTCGAGCCCCAGTACCAAAAAAAAAATGTTATTTGTTTGGGCCAGGGATTTAGCTCAGTGGTTTTGCCACCTGCTGTGCAAGCTCAAGGACCCAAGTTCGATCCCCGGTACCGAAAAAAAAAAGAACTGTTTAGGAAGGACGAGTTGTGGTTGTAACAGCTCAGCACTAATTTTGATCCTGACTGTTCTGGCAGGCAGGGCAGAAGAGAAAACGGTTCTGTTTTTCCTGTTTGACTAAAAGCAGTTCACACGTTTTTCAGAAAAGGTGCTTTTCTTGGCACCAGATTTTAGGAATTTACTGTTGCAAAGATGAATTTTTACTTCAGCTTGCTAGAAACCGAGAATATCTTGCAAGTGGCTGTGTTTTTTTAAAAAGTTAGTTCTGTGATATGATCTCCTTGTTTTGAATCCGATCCAGTATTATGTGAAACTCGAGATGAAAAACTAGCCTGCCATTCTGCCATTTAATAAAGCTACTCTGTTGGACATTTATTTATGTATTTATGTATTTATTTATTTATTTTGGTATCAGAGATCGAACTCGGGACCTTGCACTTGTGAGGCAGGCAGCAGAACCACTGAGCTACATCCTTGCCCCCTGTATATTTATTTTTTAGTTGACAGATGACAGTTGTATATATTTATGGGACACACTCGGGTGTTGTGTTGTATGTCTGTATTATAGAAAGATTAGATTAATTAACATCCATCAGCTTACCAGCTTACATTTTTGTGGTGAGAATGTTAAAAATCACTTCTGTTGGGCCAAGGATTCAGCTCAGTGGTTCCACTGCCTGCCTCGCAAGCGCAAGGTCTCGAGTTCGATCCCTGGTACCAAAAAAAAACACCAAGAAAAATAAATCACTTCTGTTAACAGTTTTGAAATACACAGTGTGTTATGAACCGTGGTTCCATGCAGTGCGTAGACCACAAGACCCTTCTCCTCTAGGCTGAGTTCGTCCCCTCTGGTCAGCTCTGTCCCCTCCCCACGCCACTTGTTTATGCTTCGTTCTGTGACCGACTGGCCCTTTACATTGCTTTTGGGTGTTTCCTTCGTCTCCTTTCTTGCACTTGTGTTTTAGTCGCGGCCCAGTTTTACCTCTGCTCCGTTAGCAGTGTGCCGCGGACCCTGCCAGTCCTGCCGCCCGCTGGCTTTGTGACTCCCTCCCAGCCCACACTGTCAGGCAGGCCGTGCGGAGGCCGGGACACGCAGTGTGCGCACTCACGTGTCCATGTGGTGTTCAGCTTTAGGTGAGCTTGACGTTCTCCCGGGAGCCGGAGCCGGAGCCGGCGTCAGGGAGCGAGTGAAAGCGGCTCTGCTGTGGGCCCTGGCGCACACAAACACTCTTCTGTTTCTCACGCAGGTACCGAGTTTTGGCAATTGGAGATGAAAAGTACCGGACGAGGAAAGAGGACGAGCTCAGCAGGTGCGTGCTGGCGTGCAGAGGGCCTGGCCCTCGGCTGCTTCCGGCGCACGCGGGGTGACCTGGGGCCGCAGGCAGCCAGGCCCGTCGGGGGAGTGTTGTCTCTGCTTCTCCCGTGCTCAGCAGTCTTTTCAACAGAGCCCATGAGGCCCCCAAAGACCACATCTTCAGTGTCCGATCCTTTCTGAAAAGTCTGCCCCCTTCTAACCTTGCATACCCGTGGCCGAGCCTTATGGTGCTGCAGGAAAAAGGTTCCAACTCTCAGCCCGCGAGCTCGGCAAACAGAGCTCTCCAAAGCCCCGCGTTTCAGTCCTGCCTTGTGTAATCAGTAGTCAGTCTGGTTCAGTAGGGTACCGTTCTCCATGGAGAAAGCCCCTTTGAGAATTAGAGAAGGGAAAATGTAGTTGTCCTGTAAACGGTTCCAGGTTACTTCACAGCTCACCCACTGGGAGAATACTTTCCTACAGAGCTTACCAGCTGGTTGAGGCATAAAAATACCACTTTGTGTGTGTGGGGGGGTAGCTTTGGTGTGCACATCACCTTTGGGAGACAGAACTTATGGAACTGAGAATCCCCTGAAATGAGCAGTGCCCACGCCAGCAGCTCACTGCTGTCCCCTCTCTCAGCGTGGAGGACATCCAGTTCCTGGTGCTGCAGAACCTGATCCAGAGCACGCTGTCCCTCTCCAACAGCCAGGTGAAGTCCTGCCAGTCCTTCCAGGTGAGTCCCAGTGTCCCTCAGCATGGGGGACCAGGGCCGGTGGGTGCTTGTCCCTGGGTCCACCTTCCCTCCCAAAACCAGGCCTCCAGCCCTCGCTTCTGGTGTCTTACTCATTGGGGTTTTTTGTTTTATTTTTTTTTTCGGTACCGGGGATCGAACTCAGGACCTTGTGCTTGCGCAGCAGGCGGTGAAACCACTGAGCTAAATCCCCGGCCCTCGTTGGGGTCTTGCTTGGTTTTATTTTATTTTTATAGTACATGTTCAAGGCCTGCAGCTGGATGATCTGGTGTACATTTTGGAATGATAGCCACACAAGGCTAGTTAATGTGTCTGTCCTGCCACAGAGTTAGCTTTTTTCTTTTCTGCGGTGAGAACTCAGGCTCTGCCATGGCTCATTGCAGACACGCAGTCCCTGTCGTTGGCTGCAGCCACATACTGTACACTGCTTGGATCTCCAGAGCTGATCATGTGCTTGCCTGGAGCTCAGAACCCCCTCGACCAGTGTCACCCCCTCTTTCCATCATCCTTGGGGTGCGGGGACAGGGTTCAGCAGCCTACAAAGCCCTCCCAGAGCCGCAGCTTTAAGTCTCCGATGTGAGGCAGAATATTAAGCAGATGAGGAAATGAGGCATGGACCAGGAACTGGGAGCCCCTGAGCTTTGGCGTCTCAGGCCACCTCCTGAGTCGTGGTTCGGGTCCTGGGACGGAGGCTGCCTTTCAGGGGGCTGCGCATCGTCTGTCTCCTGAGGACTGAGGAGGATGAGAGGAAGGCAGGGCCTGGCAACCAGGCTGTGCTGTATTTAATCTGCAGACCTCACGGCCTGCCCCTCTGGCTTCTGTCAGCCTAGGTTGGGGTGAGGGGAGAACATGAAGCAAACAGAGGGGTGTTGGGTCCCAGTGTCGGGGCGCCTCAGAGTCCGCTGGGAGCAGCCAGGGACTGCAGTGAGGAAGACAGGCTGGGCCCAGTCCCCATCCCGAGGGGCCAGGGCGCTCCGCAGAGAGCCCGCACAGGCCAGCAGGGCGCTGCACTCGCCTCAGGACCGCCTTGTGCCCTCCCAGGGCTGGGCGGGGTGGGGGGTCGAGGAAAGTGCTCGGCCAGGCTGGCTGCCCTGACGGAGTGGCCCGGCAGCCGGCGAACTCTTCGCCTCTGCTTCAGCCTGTCACTCTGGGGTGGCTGCCTCCTGGGAGCAGGGCTGCCTCGACACCGAGTCAGAGCCCGGCGGCCACTCTCGCCGTCTCTCGTGCAGCCCTCAAACCCTGCGTTTTCTCGAGCAGGTTTTATGCACAGCGAAGTGCGTGTCCCAGACTGAGGCTGCCACCGTGCTGGGCGCCTCACAGCCGTCCGGTGTTTGTAGCCGAAGAGAGTGGAGCCCTGGTTAGCCTGAGCAGGAATAGATAGGATGGGGCAGTAGTCCCCAAAGGACAGCCGCAGGCCCCTGGATTTTTGTTGGACTCCCGCTGGTTTACTAGAAGACAGCAACAGAGCCAAATGTGGTGGCGCACGCCTGTAATCCCAACACTTGGGAGGCTGAGACAGGATTGCCACAAGTTTGAGGCCAGCCTGAACAACACAGCAAGACCCTATCTCAAAAAACTAAAAACAGCAACAAAAACCTGTTTTTAAATTTATTGCTAACATTGCACATAAGAACCCATCTTTCTGAGTTTGGCTGGCAGCTGTGGAGGGGACTTCTGCTCCCCTGCCCAGTGGTGATGCAGGGCTGGACAGGACCCCAAGGATCCCTCCTGTCCCGCCTCAACCAAGAAAGCCCAGCCCAGGAGGAAGGAAAATAGGTTACGACCAGGCGATGGCAAAAGCCAGGCCCAGGGCTATCCCGCTGCTGTTTCTCCTCCAGTCCCTATGCAGGGGCTTCCTGGCTCACGAGGCCGCCCGAGGACTGGGCTTAGGGACGGGAAGGACTCCTGCGCTGCCCGGAGATGCGGCCTAAGAGGGCGGGGGGGCTGCGCAGTCCGGGAGGTGGGGGTGGCCTTCCTGGGACAGCCCGGCCTCGCCAGAAGTGAGGGATGACTCTCGTTCCCCAGGTCACCGCGGTGCCCACATGCCTCTCCACAGCAGCGGCCGTTTGGGGATCATGTGCCCCAGTGACGAGGCTGCTCTTCTGTCCCTGGTGCCTCCCCGGCTGGCAGCGTGGCTCAGTGTCACTTTAAGCCCGTGTACCTCACTGAGCGGTCTGGGAGGGGCTCTCCTGGAGCTGGTGTGTGCTAGGTATGAGGGGCCACGGCCCCTTGAGCCAGTCCTCGCCAGAAATGGCGGTGGGGACCTTGCTGCTCCTACAGTCCTGTGAGCAGCTCTTCCCTAGTGGAGTCCAAGTCCGCAAGACTCAGCTGCCTGGCGCATCAGTGTCATGGTGGCATAGGGGCCTGTGCGCTTGAGGCAGGCTCCACATCTGCTGGGAAAACTGGGTCTGAGCTTTACATGGGTGAGTGCATTTCAGCCAGAGATTTAGCTCAGTGGTTCCTGTGCCTGCCTTGCAAGCACAAGGTCACAAGTTCGATCCCCGGTACCAAAAACAAAAAAACAGTGTGTTTCAGGCAGAGCCACTCCTACAGACAGTGTAGGACCGGAATACAGGGCCACCTCCTGCAGAGGAGCGGGACCAGCAGGGTTTGGATTTGAGGGGAAGCATGTGAGCCGAGTCAACCACATATAGATCTGGGGGGCCTTAGCTTTTTCAGGAAAAGCCAGCAGGCCCAAGGAGCTGGAGAGCCAGGTGGAAATCAGGAGACCGGGCTACAGTGGTACACTATCCCGCTCATTGTCCCTGTGGGTCCTCAGAATGGTTGGCTGTTGTCGAGCGCCAGAGGGAAGCCATTAAGGTTTTGTAAGCGGGAAAAGAGCATATGATCTGGTTTCAATGTAAAAGGGTTGCTTGGCTGCTGTGGGAATGGTCGGGCTGGCAGGGAGGTGACCCGTAGAGAAGCAGGGAGACCAGGGCTGCAGGCTGTGATGAGAAACGGCTGGCAAGGACCAGGTGGTGACCATGTAGATGGCATTGGTGTTTTTGTTACTTTTTGGTCGCTAAGACAAAATGCCTGACACCCACAGGTTAAAGGAGGAAAGGTCTATTTTAGCTCACGGTCTGTAAAGGTTCCAGTGCATGGTTGGCTGGCTCCAAGGCAGGGCGCATGGCAGAGGGGCATCACAGAGGGGAAACAGTCCGTGGCAGGCAGGCAGGAGCAGCAGACTTCCTTCTTTCCCTTTTTATTCAATCCAGGCTCTACAGGCCATTTGGTTGGTGCTGCCCATACCCAGGGTAAATCCACCATCCACACCCAGAACTATGCTAAGCCAGCCAGGGGCTAATCCATGTCCCAGAAACCCCACTTAGGAGTGTGTGAGGCTTTAGGGGATACCTGGATATGAGCGGTAACAGTTGGAGCTTGAGCTAACCCGCCCTGCCAGTGGTTGGCTGAGAGGCCAGGGGACAGTGACAGCAGCGGCCGTCCTGCACTGATTCTCAGTGTCTCTGCACCCAGAGCTGGGCTTGGGGTGAGCGCCATCCTTTCTCCCCAGTTGCCTGTGGTCTCGGGCAGTGTGGCGCGACGGGGTGCGGGCTGGGATTGTCAGCTCCCCGGGCTCCTCCAGTTACACACGTGCACACACGCACGCACCACCACTCCCACCTGCAGGCCCATCAGCAGCCTTCCCGCGAGCCTCATGCTGTGGCTCCCGTGTGTCCGCACTCACCGCCCCTGCTGTCCACAGATGTTCCGCCTCTACCGTGAGTACAAGGAGCCGGTGCTGGTGCGGGCCTTCATGGAGTGTCAGAAGAGGAGCCTGGTCAATCGGCGCCGGGTCAGCCACACAACAGGCCCCAAGAAGAACCGGGCCCTGCCCTTCGTGCCCATGTCCTACCAGCTGTCGCAGTCCTACTATAGGTGGGTCCCGCTGTCTGGCTCCTGTGAGTGTGTGTGTGTGTGTGTGTGTGTGTGTGTGTGTGTGTGAGAGAGACGCAGGTCTGGGAGGGCTTTGCTGGTGTGTGTGTGTGTGTGTGTGTGTGTGTACGTGTGTGACGCAGGTCTGGGAGGGCTTTGCTGGTGCTTTGTGCAGGCCAGGCCTGCGCCGTGCCGTTGGTGTTAGGGTATGCTGCAGAGCAGGCATTGGCCCCCCACCCCCGCCAGGCGGGAAGAGCCATCACATCAACGGTGGGGCCAGTTAGAAGCCACCCTCTGCCCTGTGTGACGTCAGTCCTCTGTCTTGGGGTTCAGAGGCCCCTGAAGCCTCCTGCTGCTCCTCCAGCCCGTCTGCAGCGCCTGTACCTGCAGAGCTGAGGTGGGGGTTGTGCTAGAGCAGCCTCCTGCTGGAGCCTCCGCCAGAGGGGCTTCCACTGTAGCGGCACTGCTGGTCATGCCTGGGTGTTTGGTATTCTGTGCCACCAGCCTCCTGGTCTCAGGCAGAGAAGTCTTGTGAGACTTCCAGGCCGTGTCGCCTTGCCAGCCTGCCCTGGCCCACTCTGGGGCCCGGGATCCTCTGCAGACCAGGCAGACGGCAGTGGGGGTCTTGGTGCTTCTGCCCCATCCCTCTGCCTCTGCCTCCAAGCACGGCTGCTTCCCAAACGTTCACCCTTGTGACCTCAGGCTGCATTACCTTCTGGGAAGGTGGCACAGCAGCAGGAGACACAGCCACCCGAATCCAGTAGCCCCGACCCTGAGCACATTTCCCAGCCGCTTGGCCGCCCGTGCGCCTGAGCAGTGGTGCCCCTTCCCGCCAGCGGCTCACCCCCTCGGGCCCCGCGGTAGCCTCCAGAGGTGTGAGTGGCAGTGTGCCCTCTCCCTCTGAGGTCAGGGTTGGCTTTGGGTGCTGGTCACCGTCCCATCAGGACACTCATCCCTCACTCCGCAGCTGTTTGTAGCGGGTGCTGCAGAGTGAGGCGGGACTCGGTCGGGAGGAGGAAGACGGGTGCTGCGGGGCGCAGACACTGCACCTCCTCGAGGGCCGGACCGGCCCGGGGGTGGGGCGCCTGCGGCTGTGACCCTGATGAGCTGTGCCGGGCCCCTCGATGCCCTCCCGGAGCTGGCCCTGCGCAGGCCCTGACGCCCTTCTGTCCTCGCAGGCTCTTTAACTGGCGATTTCCCAGCACCATCTGCACAGAGTCCTTCCAGTTCTTTGACAGTCTCCGGGCTGCCGGCAGGCTGGACCAGTCCGATCCTTTTTGCTTCAAAGACCAGGATAACAGTGAGCCCCCAGCTGGCATGGTGGCATTTTCCCTGGACGGCCCCGGCGGACACTGTGCGACCGCCCTGACCCTCTGGTCCCTGGGCCTCGTTTCCGTGGATGTCAGGATCCCAGAGCACATCCTGGTGGTGGACAGCGCGATCATGAAGAGGTGGGCGCCAGGCGGGAGGCAGTGGCTGGGGCCATTTTGGGGCGGGCCCGGCACCACCATTTCCTCTGTTTCTCCGTTGGGACGGTGCCTTTCCACTCCGTGAATCCGCTGAATTTTGCTGCTTTGTGTCTGGCGCTGTGCTGGGCATGTGCGAAGCAGCGCTGTGGACGGGGATGTGGAGCTCGTGGGCCGGCCTTCCCCATCCCTAAGCCTGGAGGGGGGCGCCTGGCCAGGGACATGGGAGGTTTCCAGCAGGGGGAGGCGGCTCTGCTCTGCGGGGACAGGGTGCAGAGAGCCTGGCGAGGCTGGGCGGGCAGGAGCGCTGAGGCCCGCTGGGCTCTAGCAGGGGGCTGCAGAGGCCCGGCCCGGCCGCCCCCAGCCCCGGGTGTTGCTCCCTTCTCAGCCTGGGGAAGGATGGGGCCTTGGAGGACGAGGAGGACGAGGAGGAAGACCTGGATGAAGGCACGGGGGCCAAGCGAGCGGGCGTCGAGGTGAAGGCGCACCAGGCCTCCCACACGAAGTACCTGCTGATGCGGGGCTGCTGTGTGCCCGGCCTCATCAGCACGCGCAACCTCAACCCCAACGACAGCGTGGTGGTCAACTCCTGCCAGGTGAAGTTCCGGCTCCGCTGCAGCCCGCTGGACACCCAGCTCAAGCCCGCCGGTGAGTGTCTCCAGGGCCCGGCCAGGGCGCACCTGGCCACACCGTGAGCCGCCCTTGGACCCGAGTGCTGGAAGGCCCTCCCCACGGGGTGCTGCACCCGCACTCAGCCTGCTCTGGTCCGGGGCCTGCCCACACCTCCCTCCGGGCCCGGGCCTCCCTGCGCCCCACTGACACCCCTTCCTGCCTGTTCTCAGTCAGCCTTGGTAGCTGTCAAAGGAGTTCTGGACTGGTATGCTTTTTAAAAATTAATATTTTTTCCCTTAATTATTTTTGTGGTTCTGGGGATCGAACCCAGGCCCTTCACACTGAGCTACATCCTCAAGATTTTATGTCTTTTCTTATTTTGAGACAGTCTTGCTAAGTTGTCCAGGCTGAGCTCACACTGTGGATCCTCCTGCCTCAGCCTCCCAGAGTGCTGGGATGACAGATTGAGTTGTGGACGTTGATGCAGCTGTTAGATGTTGTCTTAGATCCCTTGCTGTGAAGCATGAGAACCCAGCTCACTCGTGCTCTCCTACTTCCTTTACTTCCAAGATGACGTTCTGTTCAGTTCTTCTGTCGATCACCAGTGAAGCTAGGTTTCTTAATCCTCTCCTCCCCGCCCCTCCGTGTAGGGAGTCTCGCCCTCCTGCACAGCCCACAGCGGAGGGGCTTGCTGCTCCGCAGTGTCACCTTCTCCTCCTCCCTCCTGTCCTCCCCCATAGCTGATGTCTGTGGTCCTTGCTGTCCATCTTGTGCCCACGGTTGAGTTCCGTGCTTTGTGTGCAGTTTGGCCAGGCAGAAATGTAGTGGTCCTGCACCTGTGGTCCTAGCAGAGACGTCTCCTGTAGGCAGCAAGAGAAGCCACGAGGCAGAGGAAGGAGAGACCGGTGTATTGCCAAGGCCTGGGGCTCCCGTGCCCAAGGGGCAGGCGGCACAGAGCCCCTAGAGCAGCGTGGCTCCCAGAGTGCCTCTGTGGCCTGCGCTGTTCCTGAGCAGGCTGTGCAGGGCAGGGCTCCAGTCCGGAGCTGCAGTCGGTGTGCAGTGTCCCCAAAGGTGGCCTCATGACTGTCAGGGAGCAGTGTGGGTGCTGGAGGGAGGGTCTGCCTCCGGGTCAAGGGCCTCACTCTGAGGCAGGGCTTCAGGCGGGCTGATTTGATCTCCCTCTGGTCTTCGCAGACCCCTCTCTGCAAGAGCTGACGGAGGGGACCTCCTGCCTCCCCAACTCCTTCACCAGGCTGATGGAGCCGCCAGGAAACATGGTCAGCCGGGAGGAGTTTGCCCGCCATGGGGTGCTGTCTGGGTACAGCCCCGAGGACCTGTCTGCCGCCCAGGAGATCTGGCAGGCTGTGGTCTCCGCCGGCTGTTTTGGGATTGACAAGGAGAAGCTGAGCAGTCAGTTCTTGGCCTTGGAGAACACGGCGGGCTCCAAGACATTCCAAGACTATATCCAGGTGGGCTCCACCACTGGGCAGCCTGGCCCACCGCCTGCTGCAGCTGGCCTGAGTCTGGGCTTTGTGGGAGTGAGTCTCTGTAAAAGAGCTGAAGTAACATCAGCGTTCAGAGATGAGGCTATTTCACCTGAAATCCGAGCCTTTCCTGAATGTTAGGGTTGGATGAGCCCCAAGCAGCTGCTTCTGCCCAGGATGGGCTGAGCCCTCCCTGGCCTTACATGTCACCTGCCTTGTCCCTCAGGCTCAGGGGCCCTTGAGCCTGGATGTCCTGCACAGTCCGCAGCAGCTGAGCAGTAGGGTGTGGCTCAGAGAGAGCCATGTTACGGGGACATCCAGCCACCTGCGGTCTGTTGTGGGCCAGGGCTTCGGACCGTCCATGCTCCAGGGGCTGGGAGACCGAGTTCAGGCGGGGCTGCTGGAGGAGACCCACCATGTCTGCTCCGAGTCGGAGTGGAACAGCGCTTGTGTTTATCTGAGCAGCTCTCCGCCCACCTGGGATCTAATTGTTAATAACCTCTCGGGGCACCGTAGCCCTGGGAGGTGACCCGAGCCCAGAGAGGGATGAGGAGGTCCTAAGGCTGTGGTGCAGAGCCCAGGGCTGCTCTCACTGACAGTCAGAGGGAGAAGGGCCAGGCGGCTCCACTGCCCCTCGCCCTGCCCAGCCACCCAGACCCGCGTGGCAATGGTGGCCGCTTTGTTGGAAGAGCCTGGGTGTCAGGTCCCGGGGTAGAGCGTGGCAGGCAGGGGAGACTCGCAGTCTCCAGCCTCGGTGACTGGGTTGTGTCCACCCGTGAGGTGCACACATCTGGCTTGTTCTGTGAGCAGCTGCGCCACTCCAGGACGGGAAGAGCCTGCCTGGGCCTCGTGTCCGGGGCAGCTCCAGGGCTGGAGGTTAGGCCCTGTCCTGGGCTTGCTGCCCACTGGGGACCTGGGCGTGGCGACATGGGACACCGTCTGGCCGGCACTGTTGAGCCTCCTTCTTGTCCTAGGACCTCTTGGCATGGAGCCAGGTGCTGGAAGTCGGCAGCAACACCGTCCGCCTGGTGGCCATGGCCTTCGCCCGCCCCTGGCTGCTGCACTCAGTGCGGCTGAAGGACACAGAGGAGGATGCCCCGGCCACACTCCCCGAGGGACCTGCCAGCGAGAGGCTGGCTCCGCCTTCTCAGAGCACCAAGCGCCGCCCACGCTGGGCCAGCCAGAGCAGTGACACCGACGCCGACACCGATGCTGAGTATACCCGGAAGCCCCCTGCAAAGAGGCTCATGCTCCAGCACGTGCACTGGGCCCCTGGCCCCAGGCTGGCAGCAGAGGAGGGGGTGGAAACCCTGGCTTGGGCTCCACCCCTGGCTCTTGAAGACCCAGGTGCAGGGGGCACCGGGCAGGAGGACCAAGAGCGAGGCCTGCCCAGCTCCCTGGGCCCAGAGCCGCTGAGCACTCAGGCCCAGCTTCCAGAGGGCTCGGAAGACCCCAGAGGTACTGACCTCCACCCCACCCCAATTCTCTGTCCTCCGGTTGGGCTGGGGGTGGAGAGCGGCCTGGGGCTTCTGGGAGAGCAGGCGGTGAAGGCAGCCCGTGTGTCTCCATTTCCCTTGGACTGCTTGGGCCAAGCGTTTTGTGTGCTGCCGCCTGTGGCCAGGACTTCGGGGTAGAAACAGGTGCCCGGCTCCCCGTCGCCAGGGTCCCTGCCCTGCCTGCACACTGCTGGCTGCCCGGACGGTGGATGCCAGAGGCTGGGACTGTGGTCCTTCCCGTTGCTGCCCTACCCTGTCCCACTGGGCGCTCGTTGAATGAGGGAGGACAGGTGGCCTCCCACGCTAAGCCCTTCCTTCCTCTCCTCAGGGCTCCTCGATGCCACTGGGGCTGGTGGCCTCTCCCAGGCACCTCCAGAAAAGTGAGTGCAGGTTCAGGCTCAGATTCAGGCCTGGATGGGGGAGGGTGGGGCGGGGAGGCTCATCCTCGGGTGCCCAACAGGTGGCCCAGTGTGTGACTGGCAGGAGGGCCCCGGCTGTGGGCCTGGGGCTGCCCCGCACCTCGGCTCCCCCGGGACTCTGGGGGCTGCAGTGACAGAGACCTGAAGGGCCCAGCGCGGCGGGGTCTGGGTGGCCACGGTGCTCGCTCAGCAGCCTGAGCCAGGCATCTCCTCAGCGGCGGCCCTGGGCCTCCTCACAGCCCCATTGCACAGATGAGGAGAGGCCCGGGTGCAGCTGCCCTTGGCCAAGCCCAGCCCTGTGTGAGCAGATGACCCGGCTCGCTCGCACCTCTGTCCGGTGCCATCCTCGTCCTCGGGACTTGTGCCTCCTCTGCGGCAGTCTGCAGGCTGAGCTGGCCCGGGCTCACACTGAGCGGGGGTGCTGCACCCTTCGGGCCAAGGAGCCGCCCTGGCCAGGCCTCCGGGAAGACCCACGTGGCCCATGGCCCAGCTCCCAGCTCCTAGAGCCGGGCCTCACCTGGCGGCTGTGTGTCTGGCTTGTGCCGAGCCCACCCCACTCCTGCGCTCAGAGGGCAGTGTGGCAGCCCAGTGGCCAGGCCAGGGGTGTAGCCAGCATGAGCTTGGCTAGAGGGGAGGCAGCGGCCGGTGCAGGGGGAGCTGGCGGGCCCGGGCGTCCGGATCGGCCTTCTCCTGCCCCTGACTGCCCTAGGTCCCTGGCTGTGTGGCCTCGGTTCCAGCTGCATGTGAGCAGGGCCCCGTCATGGCCCAGCAGCGGAGCAGGGCTTGGGGGAGGCAGACCGTCCGGGGCGGTAACCTCTGTGAGCCTCACAGGGCTGTCCCTCACCGCAGGGACTGTGAGGACATCTGCTTCATCGGCCGCCCGTGGCGCGGTGTGGATGGCCTCCTGAACATGCCGGTGTGCAAGGGCATGATGGAGGCCCTGCTCTACCACGTCATGAGCAAGCCCGGCGTCCCTGAGAGCAGCCTGCTGCAGCACTACCAGGGCGTCCTGCAGCCTGTCGCCGTGCTTGACCTGCTCCAGGTGCGGGGCCTGCGGGCTGGGCACCCAGCTCCCCGGGATGGTCCCCCAGCCGGCCCTGGCACAGCTCCAGCTGCAGGAGCAGAGCCGCTGTCTCAGGGTCACCGCTCAGCCCCAGGAGTGGGGAGGGTGCATGACGCAGCTCACGTGGCAGCGGGAGAGCGGGGCTGTGTGCCCAGGCCCTGGTCGGGCAGCCGCATCCATCCCAGTGGGGCTGCCCCGTGTGCCTCAGCCCACAGCCCCAGGCCCTGGCTGCTTGCCAGTTGGCAACTAGAAGTTCAGCGTGAGGCTTCTGAGCGTCCGGCAGGGCGGGCCCAACTCCCTGTCTCCCGTAGAAAGCTGCTGCACCTGGCGGCCGTGTGCCTGCCCTGCAGGAAGCATGGTGCGCTGGTGGCCCCAGTTGGCACAGTGCCCTTCCTGCTGTCACCGCTCCTGCCCCTGCCCTGTCCAGAGGGTGTGTCCCGTGACCTGTGACCGCCGGCAGGTGAGTGCCAGCCACACCTGCAGCCTCGGGCCTGCCTGCTGTGTTTGCAGGGCCTGGAGTCTCTCGGCTGCATCCGGAAGCGTGTGCTGAGGAAATCCCCCACCGTGTCGCTGTTCTCTGAGCCTGGCGTGGCAGGGCCCGGGCCTGAGGTGCCCTTGGGGCTGAGTGGCAGCACCGAAGCCTTCTATGAGCCCACGCTGGACTGCACCATCCGCCTGGGCCGCATCTTCCCGCCCAAGGTCAACTGGAACAAGTGGATCCACCTGTAGACCTGCCCTGGCCACACTGGTCCCCCGGCACCCCTAGGATCAGACGAGCCTGGAGCAGATAGGTCTGTGTCCAGCTCCTGTGAGGGGACAGTGCACTGGCCAGAGCCAGGGCCTGCGGTTCCTGCTGCCCCCGGACGCTGGGCAGAGGGCGCCCTGGCCCGCTCCTCGGCTCCTCTGGGCCGCCCAGGAGCCTGGCTCTCCACCCTTGGCCTGTGCATCCCTCAGCCAGCGGGGTCCCCGCCCTCTGCTGCTCCTGCTCCCTTGGCCGCTCAGCCGCTTCTGTGGGCATGTCCTGCGCTCACTCACTCCCTGCAGCTGCCTGGCCTCTGAACCCAGCTCCAGTGAGCCTTGGAGGGGTGGCTGCTGTTGCCACCACTGCAGGCTGCCGGCTCTCCGAGTGCCCAAGGGCCTTGCGCACCATAGCAGGAGGCCCACCCGAAGCCCCGCCCCGCCCACCAGAAAGGTGGTCCCTGTAGGTCCTGGTTCTTTTGTTTTGTTTTTTCAGCCTCCTTCCTCATTTACAAACAAGTCCTCTGGCGTGTATTTATTTATTTTTTAATTACAGTGGAATGAATGCACTTAGCTTAGCATGTTTCTGCACGGTTGTCCCTGGGGCCCCTGCTCAGCTGAAACAGCCGGGAGTGGCTGTGCCTAGGAAGGCAGGACAGGGAAGCCAGCTGAGCCTCTGTGTTCCCCACTGCAGGATGGAGGCGTGGGCAGCCCTGCCCACCCCCTTGGCCCGGGACCCCTGCATCGGCCCCAGGTCTGACCCTCACCAGCCTGTGGGAGGGGTGCAGTCCCTTGAAAGCTCTCTCTGGCTGACAGTGTGTAAATTGTTTTCAGTTACTGACATTTTTTTAAATGTGTTGGTTTCACCTTTAAACAATTTAGACATCTGGCTTCTCTTGAAAGATAGCTGCAGCGGCAGTGGCCTTGCCATCTGTGTGGGACAGGCAGGGTGCTGAGCAGAAGCTGCTCGCTTGGGTGGGACGAGCCTCCTGGTCACCAGGGCCCACGCCACCCACATCTCCTGCCCACCCAAGGGGACCCTGCACCTGGGGACCCTGAGCCCACATCTCTCTGCCGAGACCAGGACCCTGGTCTCACTGCGCCAGACCTCGAAGCACTCCATTTCACTTCGTATGTATGAAACAGTGCTCTGGGGATTGACGTTAGGTAAAAAGTAGCAGACGGGATCTGCTTAAAAAGTGGGGCATCTGAAAGACGCTCCATACCTGTCTGGAGATGAGAAGGTAGGTTCGGGAATCCAGCAGCTGGGACTCACAGTGCTGGTCTTGCTGTATGTCCACCCACCCACGTCTTCGGTGAAGGCCCTGCCCAGCCACTCTGTGGACCAGTGTCTCTTTAAAGCGAAGTGCAGAGCCGCACTGTGAGCCAGGCAGGGAGCAGAAGCAAGGACTGGCGCAGGTGAAATCACAGGGTTTCAGCTACCAGAGAACTGAAATACACACCCAGGCTGTGGAGAGCTGCAGATTGCGAACAAACACAAAGCACTCTGCTGATAAAACCTAAGCTGGGGCAACTCGGGTCTGCCACTCATGGGCAGCCTTGGGGCATGTTCAGGCCACACCCTGCTGTCCTCATAGCAGCAGGAAGGGGCCCTGAGCTGGGCCCCACATGGCCCAGATGTCCTCTGCTTCATGTCTTCAGTTTCTCTGGTCCTCACTTGTAAAATTCTTTTTCCTTAGATGAGCAGTAAATGAGCCCCTTTTCTTACACACTTCAAACCTTCCGGGCAGGGGTGGAGCCCGGGCCAGCTCCTTAAATCTGCGTGCATCTCTTGCTGGGCCAGGGGTGCAGGACGGGAGGTCGTTTCTGCATGGCGTGGGGTGCGTAGCTTGCCCTTGCTCCCCCCGCCGCCCCTCGCACATCTGTATCCACGTGCAGAGCCCCCTGAGCCGGCGGGCTGCCCACACTGAGTCCCGCGCGGATTCGCTCCCCAAGGGCCCCCAGATGGCCTCCCAGCCGTGTGCCCCTCCCCTGCCTGGTCCTGTGCAGAGCGCCTGTCCCTCCCTGCCAGCACCGCGGCTCGTTGACCCGTGAGTGACCGCGTGTCCTGGCTTCCCCTAGCACCCGTCCTCCCCCTGCACTCCACTGCCAGGGGCCTCGCGCACACCTGTGTGTCGCGCCCAAGATCCAAGGAGGCAGCGGAAGCTGGCCCTTCTCCGGCTGGATGAGGAAAAAGCAGTGGACGCTTCAACCCCGGTGGTCGTGGCAGGGTCGCTGTGCGGATTAGAGGCGCCGCTCCCAGCCAGGTATAATCTGCCCCTGCGGTCCAGGTCAGCGGAGTGCCCGGCCTCGCCTTCGGCCAGTGCCTGCCAGTTCCAGCGCTTGCCAGCAGGGGGCAGCAGCCACCCAGGCATCTTTGTTTCCTGATAATTCTGTTCGGCTGCTTCCTCCGGAGCATGGGGCAGCATGTCCACAGAAGTGATGGCACCGTAATCGCAGCACTTCTAAGGCGCCAGACGCCCTCCGGGCACTGTGCACATGGGAACCGGGTCGAGGTGCCATCAGTGTGCTCACCTGCTGAAGGGGAAGCTGAGGCCAGAGGAGGTCAACAGTGGGCTCCGAGCCCCGACAGCGTGCGCCCTGGAGTGCTGGGCGGGAGGGCTCCAGCCGCCCGGCCAGGCTGTGGGGACGGCCTCACCCCGATTACAGCCGCAGGCGCCCATTCTTCGATCCCCTCTGTCCCCCGCTGTGTCGGGCCTGCCTTGCCACTGACCAGAGCCAGGCTGCACTCCGGTGACCAGTCTGCTGGGGTACCGTGCAGACAGTAGGTTCTGGGCACATGTAAGAGGTGGGTTTTTAAAATTATTTTTTGTTGTTGTTTCTTGCAATCCTAGGGATTAAACCTAGGGCCTTTTTTTTGCACAGGGTTACAGCCCCCAGCCCTTTTTACTTTTTTGAGACAGGGTCTTGCTAAGTTGTCCAGGCTAGGGTTAAACCTGAGACCCTCCTGCCTCTGCCTCTCAGAGTAGTGGGACTGTAGGTGTGTACCACCACACCCACCTGAGAGATGTTAATAGAATGTGATCGGTGTTAGGAGGAAGAACAAAGCCAGGTTAGCTGCAGTTTAGGAAGGGACCAGCCAAAGTAGGGCCCTGAGAGGGGACAGCCGGACCAAGACTGGCCCCATGTTCTCACTGCCAAGAGGTGGCTCCAGTTCCCGTCCCTGTGGCCTCCCCTGCTTCTGGTTCCCTCAACATCCTGGGGCATCTGGGCTCCCAGGGGCTGCACAGTTCACCACCGCCCCTCCTGCAGGCCCATCCCGGCCAGGTGCATTGGGGTGGATGGGCTACACGGGACTTGGCTGCACCCAGGCAGCAGCCTGGCCGGTCACCTGCAGGCTGGCTGAGAATCGCCTTACAGGGGAGGCCAAGGGATGCAGCCATGGGGGCAGGCGGGGGCCCCTGGCCCACACCCAGGTGAGATGAGGCCGTGTGACCCCTCTGCACTGTCCACGGAGCAGCCCAGACCGGCAGCATCCAGGCAGCCTTGCAGAAAGCCCCGGTCAGTGGCCCAGCCTGGCTGGGGTGGGGGCGCTGGTGCACAGCTAGGCGGGGGACCCATACCTGAGGACCTCCAGCCCCTCTTTCACCCTCAGAGAGGTGCAGCCCCGCCCCTACAGAAGAGGGCACTGGGGCTCTGAGCATTGTGACAGCAGGGCAGCTCCCAACCCTGCAGGGTTTTGTTCAGTGCTGAGGGTGGAGCCAGGCTTTGCCCGTGCTGGGCCAGAGCTGGGCAGGAGATGATGAAAGGACACTTGCACCAGGATGCCTGCTCTGCCCACAGGAGCCTGCTGCAAGCCCACTGAGGTCCAGACAAGCAGGCTGCTGGTGACAGGGGCCCCGTCTGGCAGCTGCAAATGGCAGAGGGCTGATCTGGGGCTCACAGAACACAGGGCCCCGGCCCCATCTCCTTGCATGAAGGCCCAGGCTGATGGAGCAGTCACCATCTCAGTCACCACCAGGCACCAAGACAGGAAAGCCCCCAGGGGACACTGCCACTGTCGGCCAGATGCTCTGTGCAGAAGTGAGACTGGTCACTTCTGCCCACAGTTCACTGGCAGTCCTGGTCCTGTGACCTCCTCTGACTACAGGCAGCCAGGAGGTGACGTCAGGGAACGCGCCTAGAAGGCCACAAGTGGGAAATATCTGGTGAAGGGCATGGTGATGTCCATACTCGGGTAGCTCCAAAGTCCAGGGGTATGTGGGTTTCAGGCACAGTTGGTTCCAGGAGCTCGAGAGACATAAAAGACTCCATCTCTCAGTTCTGTGTTGTTTTCAGGTCAAACAAGCCGATCCCTCCTGGTGGCCCCCAGCTGCTGCAAGCTCAGTCCCTCCCTACAGCTCAGCAATCCCAGCAGCAAGAGAGCAGGAAGCAGCTTGGGTCTTGTTCATCCCAGAGTTGTCCTGGGCAGGAGGTTGGAACGCTCTGGTCAGCTCTGGGCCATCCGGGCACTCCGGGCGGGACAGTTCACTGCATCACTAGCATCAGGTTAGGAGCCTGAGACACGGTAGAGGTATTTACACCAGGGAAATGAGCAGACACTGCAGATCAGGCTTTATTGAGTGCCTATTGTGTGCCAGACGGGGCACAAAGCAATGAGCAAACAGTCACTGCCCGGGAGGGGCTCATGCTTGATCTGGCTTTGTTTCCAGCACCTAGGTCTCTGTCTCTGTCCAACCTGTCCCCCTTCCAGGCCCTGCCTGTCCTTCCTCACCCATGCATCCACCACCAGGGGGTGGCTCCGTCTCCGGAGCAAGGGAGTGAGCGGCATCCGCCTCAGGAGCATCGGGGAGGAGCGTGACCTCCCTGCCCACGCCCCGTGAGCTGCAGCGCTGAGCTGGTCCCTGGGAGCCAGCGTCTCAGGCCCGCAGCTGTTACTCCCAAGAGGTGTGAAGCCACCGCACGTCTGCACCCCGCTGTCTCCGGGGCCTGAGGAGGAGGGGCAGCCTGCATGTGCAGGAGCTGTGTCTCCCCGCACCCCGCATCCCAGCCCACAGCCTGGAGTTCTAGAACCTCCCAGCCCCGGGGACCTCCCCAGCCGCTCCCAAAGCAGACGCACTGTGCTGCTTTCTCCTCGGGAAGCCGCTGGCGGGCAGCACAAGCTGCCTAGGTTCCCGCGCCTCCGGAACTGGACCGCACGCCGGCCTTGACCAGCCTGGTCCTGAAAAGGCTTCGCTACCTCTAGGGGGCGTCCTCCGGGACCGCAGTCCTCCTCCTGGACCGCAGTCCTTCTTGGGCGGTGAGCTTGTGCCACGCCGGCCGGCAGCCACAGGCAGCTCCACACTAAAGCTACAGGCAGCGCGTGCCGAGAACTGGCTTCTTAATTCACATTTCAACACTGGCAGCGGCTCGGCTTCCCCAGCTCCAGAGGGAGAAGGGGGCAGAGGACTGAACAGGCGAGGGGAGAGCAGGGTGCAGTGGCCAGGCCTGCCGGGCTGTGTGCCCACCCCACACTGCGGCCCACAGGGGAGGCCCCTCGGCGCTAGCGGCTCTGGGCAGCCTGGCACAATGCCAACTGGTGCTAGATGAATAGTTCTTGGGTACGTCAGAGGGATTTTTTAAAATGGGCAGCAGAAGCCAGGAAAAGAAATCTTGATGAAAGGGCTGTTTCTGAGCTCAGGCCGAGTGGTTTCCAGCCGGAAAGCCCCGTGTGCCCGTTGGGGCTGCCCCACTGGCTGTGGAGTCAGGCTGCAGTGCTGCCCCTCCCCTGCCGGCCACAGAGGGCCGGAAGCTGCTGCCCAGGCTGCACGGCCGACCTGCGTCCTCCCTTCGCAGTGTCCCACCCCCTGGGTCCCTGCGGCCTCGCTCTGCCCCTTCCCCTGCCTGGCAGGTGGGGAGTGGCCTGGATCGCTGCGGCTTCTGGGGGCGCCGGGCTGGGCTGACATCGGTCCCACACAGTGCCGGCCCCTTGGGAGAAGGAGGCCGAACCGTGCATCTGGGGCTCCCCAGCTGCACAGGAGCCAACACGGGGGTGGGGGCCACTCGCAGTGACCATGGGCGTATTGCACCCCAGCCCCCACACATGCACTCTGTGGTGTGAGCACTGGAAGCAGAGGCCCACACCGGACCCTTCCTGTCCCCACCAGGTGGCCCCGTCTCCCTAGCTGGCCTGGGGCTCGGTGCCCTCAGGCATGGGCTCCGAGATCACCCACTGGCGGAGGTAGCTCCGGGGGGGCCCTGTGTCACACTCCACCGGGCTGCCGCAGTCGGAGCCCGCAAAACCGCTGTCGAATGTGTCCATGTCCAGCCCAGCGGGGGGCGAGCCCGCCTCGCTCCCAGAGACGCTGCCTGCTGACGGCCCGGCCCAGGGTGGCTCCGAGGCCCAGCCCTCCTCCCCCGTAGGGGACAGCTTCGGCCTGTCCAGCCGGCTGCCCAGAGCCCCGCCCAGCCCGGGGCCCCCTGCTGAGACGCAGCCGCAGGAGAGGACTGTGGCCCCCGAATCGAGGAGCAGGTCCCCCGGGCTGGGGCCGGGCTCCAGCCCAGTGTCCAGGTCCAGGGCCGGGTAGCCATCATCCCCACAGCGGCAAGGCCAGGCGCACACGTCCTCCGCGTCCACCACCGTCACAGTGTCGAGGGACACCAGGCCGTACGGCCGGTCCTTCTCCTCGCCGTAGTCTGAGCCTCGAGGGCTGCCATCCTCGGAGGAGGACCTGGGCTCAGGTGCCCCGTCGGACTCCAGCAGGTCTGCGGGCCCCGGCAGGCCGAGGGCCTCCAGCTCCTTGGCCAGGTTCCAGGACGTCTGGCAGTCAGGCACCTCCAGGATGGACGGCGCTGCTGGGCCCCAGGGTGCCAGCTGCAGACTGGAGGCAGTGAAGGGGGTTCCCACCCACTTCTGTGGGAAGAAGGAAACAGGGTCCTGGGGGAGCAGCTGAGGCCGGGGTGCAGACCAGAGCCAGCGAGAGGAGGAGCCAGACGTGGGACGAGAGGCCGAGGAAGAGGAACCGGGAGCTCGGTGCCCCTCCGCAGGCCAGCACTGGGCCTGTGGAGCTGCTGCTCTCCCCCGCTCACACGCCCTGTGCCCCTGAGGCCAGGGCTCTGCGGGTGCAGGGCAAGAGCCCCGAGTCACGGGGCCACGGGGCAGGAGATGCCAGGCTCTGCCGGGGCTCTGCACCAGACCCCACCCTGCCCTTGTTTCCTTCCTGCTTGGGTTCTCCTGTCCACATGTCCCCAGGACAGTGGACGCGCAGCTCCCACCTCGCCACAACACCAGTGTCCGTCCACTCCGACAGGCATGGTCCCCGGGACCAGAGTCGGCCGTGCTGCACCCCAGCCCCGCGTCAGGTCATTTCTTAGCTGCATGGCCAGAGTGAGTCCCTTCTGTCTGTGCCTTGGCTTCCTCACCTTTACAACGGCCCCACCCAGGGGTGCTAGAGGACTAAGTGGCTGCTGTATGTGAGGCTCCTAGGGGCCCCGGACACGGCACCCTGCGGAAGCTGACAAAGCACTGGAGCTCCCGGGGAAGGAAAAGGCAGGTCTCCGGGGTTGGTTTCCAGGCCCCTGCCCTGCCCCATGCAAGCCAGGGCCCCCTGAGCATCAGTCTCCTCTGGGAGCACCGCCAGCCTCAGGAGCCCGTCGATGGGCTGGGTCGGCTGACTTCTGGCAGTGCCTGCCACCACATCCTCTCCCGGGCCCTCCGCTCGGCCGTGGTGGGCAGAGCCCCGTGGTGGAGCAATGGCGGGGATCCTGCACTTGGCAGGTGCCCAGATCCTCTGCAGCACTGCCTCCCTCCCAGCCCAGAGCAGCAGCGTGGGAGAAAAGCCCCAAGGCCGCTGCGCCTCCAGGGACCCTGGCTGCCCCTCCTGCGGAGGGTTCTGCAGCACAGGCTTCACTGTCTGCACTCTGCAGATGGGGAAACTGTGGCCTGGCTGGGGCCTGGGGCGAGGGTGGGCAGGGCTCCCAGAGAGCGTGGGGTACCCACCTTGAAGTCTCCTCTGTGGCCCTCATACAGGGGCTGGAAGAACCGCTCCGGGCTGGGCACGGGCGCCCACAGCTCTTTCCACAGCCTAGGGAACAGGTCAGGTCAGGTCAGGCCCTGGCTGCAGCTGGGGCACAGCCCCCTGCCTCAACACTGCCTCCTTTGTCCTGCAGGACCCCGACACCTGCCAGGACATGGCCCAGGGAGCTCCCTTCTCAGCCTGGGCCTCAGTTACGACATCTGTAGGATGCCTGAGATGCACCGGGCTCAGGGCTCTGCAGCCCGCTGTGTGCAGCATCCCCAGCTGAGCCCGACACAGGCAGAGAGCCGCTCCACAGGGCCAGGGAGAACCTGGGACCCAGCACCCAGCACTCAGCACCGTGCAGTGCCCAGCTGGAGCAACTGCCTATTTCTGGCATCCCAGCTGCCCCTCCCTGATCTCCAACTCTGGTCTTGGCATCTGGACCTGCAGGAGCCACACGTCCAGAGCTCTGTGCCCAACGCCTGCCACTTCAGGAGGGCTCAGCCAACAGCGGTTGGCCATGCTCCTGGGCCGGGTGGGCACATACTCACCACGAGGGCAGGCCAAAGCTACTCCCCCTGACACATGGGGGGCAGGCGGGTCACACAGCAGCCCCTCAGCCCACCTGGCAGCCCTGTGCCTGCCTGGGCTGCAAGCGTAAAGTCACCAGATGAGGTCACAACCCAGGTCTCTGTAAAAAGCGCACAGTTTCAAACCCGCCTCCTCCAGGTCACAGCTGTGTGACTCGGGGCTCTGTGCCTTGGTTTCCCCATTTGTACCAGGCTCCCAGGGCTGCTGTGAGTGCCCTGTGTGCAGCAAGCACCAGGTGGCTGTCGGTAACTGTCATCACCACTGTCATGGTGCTGGACACGTCCCCCACCCCGGGAAGGGCCTAGCGACCCCTCCTCTGCGTCCCTGGTCCCCTGACCTCACCTCCAGGGCAGGTGGATCTTCAGGCCCACGAAGACAATGGCCGGGGGAACCAGGACAACCAGGGACAGGAGCAGGAGCAGCAGGCCAGTGTCCCAACCTGCCTTGGGCTCTGCAGAGAAAGTAAACAGTGGGTCCAACAGAACCGCCTGTCCAGAGCCACACAGGGCGTGTGTGGGCAGACAGGAGGGGATTGCGGGTGCCTGGAATAGAGAGGGTCCTGGGTTCAGATCCTGCTCCCACCCTGCTGCCACTTGAGTCTTAAATGGCCCCTAAGGCCCACATGTTAAAGGCCAGTCCCAGCCTGCAGGGCTGTGGGGAGAACGTGGAACCATGTGGGGGTGGCTAGTGCAGGAAGCAGAGGCTGGGTGTATCCTTGAAGCGGATATTGTGACCTTGGTCCCTCCTCTTCCTCTTTGCTTTCCAAATGCCAAGAGGGACTGGTGGTCCCCACTGCACACTCCTGCCACGACGCACCGGGCCACACAGGCCCCATGCAGCAGGGCCAGGGGACCATGCGCTGAGATCTCTGAACCCAGAGCCACAGTCACCTCTCCTTCGCTGGGCTGGGTGTCCTGGGAATTCCATCTCAGTAATGGAGCGCTGCCTAGTACACCTGCTTTCACTCATTCCTTCTCTGGAAATGGGGACAGTGAGTCTTGCATCTCGGGATGGTGAAAGGCCCGTCAAGAAGGGGCATCCGGAGCTGAGCTACGCTGTGGGTCTCAGCTCACTTGGGGCAGCTGGGCAGGACAGGACCGAGTACCAGGCCAGGAAGTGCGCTGCGGCTTCACACCTACCTTCAGGCTGGGTGTGAAAGATGACGGGGTCACTCCACTCGCTCCACGTCCCCCCGAAGAAGGAGCCAGGCTGAGGTCCCGCCCGCACCTGCAGCTCATAGCTTGAGTTTTTTCGGAACTCCCCCGGGAGGAGGGAAACGCTTCTGGAGTCCACTGAGATCAGCTTTGTCACCGGGCTCTGCCAGGATGGGATGGAAAGAAGGCCTGGGTCACGGGAGGCTGGCCCTGCTCCGCGGAAGCCCCTCCAGCCCCGTCAGAGTGGCCGGGCCTTCACAGAGATTGGGCTGGGCAGCCTCGGCCTGCGGGAGACAGGGCCCCAGCCGTCCACCCTCCTGCAGGGACCGAGAATGTCCCAGGCGTGGCCACCGACCGGGACACCCAGACAGAGGACCCTGTGGGGCTCCTCAGCAGCCGGAGACCCAGTGGCCTATGTCAGGAGTGACCCCCAGAGCGGGCATTTCCAGAAGTTCCCACCAGGCACATCCTGTCAGTGGTTGTCTCTGGGAGCCTTCCCTGCGGACACTCTGCGCAGCAGCATTTATGAAAATGGTCAGCTGGGACGGGGAGATGGATGGCTCTCCCCAGGCGCCTTCCGCTGCGACTGCTCTGACTAGGGCCCGTTGCAGTCTCTGCGCAATGGACGCCTCCAGAGCCTTCAACGTGGGACACCTGGCCCTCGCCCCGGCCCCTCTCCGTGACTGTGTGACTAACTCCCACCGATGGCCACCCTAGTGCCTGGGAAGGTTCCAGAAACTTCCTGTGGAGGAAGCTGGACTAGAGAGGAGCTGTGGAGGGGCTCTGGCTCAGGGAGAGGGAAGAGGGGAGAGGGTGCACTCTCACCTGCACAGTGTCCTGGGGTTGCGAGCCCCTTCCCTCTGGCCCCAGCACACGCACACACGCACACACACACGTGCACATATATGCACATGCACACATGCACACACATACACACAACTTGGACACATACATGCACACACTCGTGTGCACATATGCACACGCACATGCACACATGTGCACACATGCACTCACACATGCATGCGTGCACACACGCACACGCATGCCGGAGGCCACAGACCACAGCCCCTCACTTCTCACCAGCGCCCAGGGGTCCGCGCGGTTCCTGTACTGCAGCTCGTACTGCAGCTTGCCCTGCAGCGCGTAGAAGATGGGCTCTTCGTAATCGGAGCGCCAGGAGACATTATAGAGTCCCGAGAAGGTCACAGTCACATTGAAGGGAGGAGCCGGCTTGACTTCGAGGAAAAACCCAGAATGATAAGAAGGGTGAGACTGTGCTGCAGGTGAGAGATGTGTGAGGGGCGAAGTGCCCCCGGCCCCTGGCCCTGAGGACCCCGCGCCCAGGGTGGGCAGAGCACACTCCCTGCCGCTGTGCCCGTTTATTCCGACCGGACCCATCACAAACCGTGGTGAGCAGGTCATGGAAGTGAGGAAGCAAGACTGGGCATCATGGGAAATAAGAGGGGTCCCAGGCTTAATGTGCCCCCCGCGGTGGTCAAAGCCTGGGGTTGCAGATTCACCCCTCACGTTTGCTTGACAAACCTGGGGGACACAGCGCCTGCTGCGCCTCTCTTTCCCCTCCTGTAAAGGGTCCAAGAAATTAGAAGGAGGTGACAGGAGTCCTGTGACAGAGGCCCTCGCCCTGGGGCTTGCCGCCGTCTGCCTCCTGCCTCCCCATCAGGCTGTGTTCCTGGGGCAGAGCTTTGTTCTCCTGGTCCAAGCACAGAGCCCAGCACACAGTGGGTCCTCAACAAGTAGAGCTTTCGGGGCTGCAAAGAATGGTGAGGCTGCGCGGGGATCCGAAACCCTGGCGCGCGGCCGTGGTCAGGCGGTGTGCACGGTAGGGAGGCCGCCAAGTGCCCGTGTGCTGTCCCCTCGGGCCCGAATCCTCGAGTCCCTCCTCCCTCGCTTCCCCTGGCCTGGGCTGGGGTGAGGCTCGCGGGGGCCCCCGAGAAGGCCCGTGGGTGCCCGGGCATCGGGATGGACCCCTGCCAGTGAGGCCCGGGTCCCAGGAGGCCGAACCATGGGGCGCAGGGAAAAGCTACTCAGAGCTGCGGTCCCGGTCCCGGGAGGCCGGTGCTGCGGGGTGGGCTGCCCGCGCCTGGAGAGGCAGACGCGCGCGTGCCGGGGCCTCGGCAGGCTCTCTGCACGCGTGTGTGACCACGGCCCCTCAGTGGCACGGGGGGGGGGCATCTGCCAGCATCAGGGCTTTCAGACACCCAGTGTGAGCCTGGGCCTGGGCGTGGGGTCCTGGGCGTGGCATGCACGTGTGCCTGGGTGTGTGTGAAGCCTGCCCACACCTCCCACAGCGAGGTGCTCACTCAGCAAGGGGTGCAAACCCGGACCCGAGTGCGAGTCCCAGACACCGCTCACACCCAGGCCGGGCCCAGGAGTCTGGGGAGAGGGGCCCCGAGGCTGAGGGGCTGGGCCTCCCAGGGCAGGACGCCTGCTGCAGGCTGTGATGTGTGGGGGCTGATGCAGGCACACACATGTCAGGTACACACGCGGACACATGTCATCCACACACATGGAGACACAGACAGGCAACCAGAGACACATCACACGCACACACGCACACGCACACATGCCAAAGCTGCCCCAGGCCCTTCCCCAATACACCCTGGGACCCTTCTGGCCTCCAGCTTGGAGGGAAACTTCTGGGTTCACTGGAGCGCGCCAGGGGAGGAAACTTGGGGGGCTTCTCTCATGCATGCCCAGTCTGTGTGGACTCAGGGACAGGTCCCAGAGTGGAGTGGACCTTGGCCACGATCGCAGGGATGGCAGGGGCCGGGCCGTGACTGGAGCTCAGCGTCCCGGGCCCAGCCTGGCTCCTTTAAGCCTGTGCTGCCTTTTCTAGCAGTTCGGGCTCCTCGAACCGTGGTAAAAACTGGCTCATCTAAAAAGCGAACTCTGAAGGCAGGGAAGGCAGCCCAGGCCATCTGGAGGCGCGAGACAGGCGAGGGGACTCACTTCTCTCAGCCAGCAGGAAGCTGCCGCACTCCTGGGAGTCACCGGCAGACGCATCCGTCATGTGAACCGTAAAAATGTCGTCAGCCAGGAAGCGGAACACATCCATGTGGCACGTGTACGTGGCATGTGTGGCGTTGTGGCTGGATCTGTGCAGGCTGCAGAAGGTGACCTCGTCCTGCAGCTCCATGTTTGGGTCTTGCCTTGGGAAACAGAGGTGCAGGGTGTGGTGCAGGCCAGTGGGGCTCGGGGCTGGGGAAGGGGAAAGGGCCCAGGGCACAGGGCGGGGAGGACTGACCTGGCCTGGGGTCACCCTGTCCACCAGTCCCTTCCCAGGGAAGCTGGTGGGATGGGGTTAGGGAAAATGCTCTGGCCTTTTAACTCCCACTGGGTAGAAATAGTGGGTTTTGAAGTATGAATAGGAGTTCATGACTACCCTCCAGGAACAATATGGATAATGTGTTAAGTTTGCTGGAATAGAAACTTACTGCATAAAAACTCTCCAAGCCTCCAGGCTGGACCACTGTAATGGCTTCCTGATCCCTGAAATCTCTCTATCCCTCTGTACAGCAGCCAGGGGGGACCTTGAAAAACCCCCTGCCACCTCTGTGCCTAATGCCCCAGCAGCTCTTGCTTATCCCCACAGTGAAGTCCAGCTGCTGCCTCCCTCTCGCCGCCTTTGCTTGTTGTTTCCCCTGGGTTATCCTCCAGCCGCTTGGCCTCCTTGCTGTTCCTCACAGTCACCCCCGGGGCCTTTGCACATGCCAGGCGCCGGCCCGGCCTGGCCTTTCCCCGCTCAGTGGCCACCACTTCCATCCAGAAACCCAGCCCTGACTGCCCTGGCCAGAGGTCTGCCCCTCGCCCTCCTGCTCCGTGCCCCAGGTCCTGCTCTTCGTGTGTCTCGTCTGTCTGCCCCGCTGCTCCCTGTGCCATGCCAGGTCCAAGACATCTGGAGCCTTGCAGGCGGGAGCCCCGTGGTCAGAGGAGCGAAACAAATGCATCTGGAGTGACGACTGTGTGGGGCGGCAGTGGAGCGACTGCCCTTGGTCTGGCTGCAGGCCGGTAAGGAGGACCTGTGCATTTGGACGCTCAGGAGCTGCCTGACCCCGGGCCGGGTGCTAGTGGCTCTGACCTTCAGCACCCTCATCCGAGAGAGGGAGCAAGTGCCTGAGCCTCAGGGGCACAGTGGCCCCGGCTCACAGGGCTGTGCCCGGAGTGAGAGCCGAGGGAGCCCGGCAGGGCGGCCGTGTGTCCCCGGTGCTGCGGGCAGCTCAGTCTGGCCTGCGGAGTCCCCAGGTCTTACCAGGTAAGAGAGAGCCTGTGGGAGCGCAGGGGCTGCATCGCTGCCAGGCAGGCGACCGTCTGCAGGTAATCGGTGTAGCAGTCGAGGTCTGGACAGCCCCATCCTGGAGGGCAGGGAGGGGGCTTAGCGGGGCTCCCTGGAACCCAGAGTGCCAGGGCCAGGATGAGCGGGGGCCTCAGGATGAGGTCGGGACACGGGCACCTGGGAATTCCTCCCTGGCGAGTGCCATGTGTTAAGGCTGGCCTGCCGCGGAGTGGAATACGGAGGTTGCCCCACTCAGCACCTCTCCACTCTGGTACGACTTCCGGGTCAGTGTGCCCTGGGCTGGCACATCCTGAGCTACCCAGAAGCAGGGAGTGCTGGGCTCGCACACACTGCACACCCCACGAGAGGGCCAGGACCCCCTGAGGCACAATGCTCGCAAAGCCCCAGAGCCCGGACCTGGCGGAGGCCCAGATGGCTTGGCAGGACACTGCCCTGGTAGGCCGGAAGTGCTTTCTGGAGGGAGAAAACCAGGGAGGATTTGAGCACCTCTGCAGAAATGTCTGCATCAGCCTGCTGCTGACACAACACACTGCCACCAGGAAGTCCTCCCTGTGCCGTCCTGTCAGGTGACCCAGCTGAAAGATTTAATATCCTCTCACTCTGCCCTAAAACACAGGCAACTGTTATCTAACCTCTAGTCAATGCTTGACAAAATAAAGCTAATGTTTAGTTTTGTTTGGAAAATCAACTGTTTCTTCTCCACTCTGTACTAAAACTTACCCCTTTCCCCTGCCTCCTCCTCCCATATCAGGGATTGAACCCAGTGCCTTCACACTGAGCTACATCCTCAGCCCCTTGTAAAGTTTTGAGACAGGGTCTCCCTAAGTTGTCCGGGCTGGGCTTGGCCTTGCAGTCCTCCTGCCTCAGCCTTCCGGAGTGCTGGGATTGCAGGCCTGACACACACCACGGGAGGTGTCTCCCTTGTTCAGTGGCTCCTTCCTAATTTTCCCTGACACATGCTAACCCAACAGGCGGGCACATCCCTCCCTGGGCTCACTCTTGGTGTGAACGGGATCCAGAGCCAGAGCGCAGTGGCTGGAAGCATCGTCCATCCCCTCCCATCCCCACTGTGGGGAGGAGAGCTCCAGGCTCTGAGGTTAGACCCCTCTCCTGGGTCTCTCTGAGTCTGGGCCTGGGATTCTGCCCCTGGAAAGCCAGGCAGGCCTGGGCCATTCTCCACCTCCATGTACATGGCAGACATGACTAATCAATCGACTGCCACTCTCTCCCACTGTGCCTGCGGAACCTTCTCAACATGGCTTCCAGGGGCAGTTCTACCAGAGTGACTTGAGGAAATGAGTCTTGATGGGGGGTGGCTTTCTGCGGAGGCACACAGGGGGCTGATCTGAACACCTGGTGGAGAACAGAGTACTGACCCTGGAGGATCTAAGCCCAGGGCTGCAGCCCCACCCCGTGGCTATGTCGCCTCCATTGGTCCCTAGGGCTCCAGGTACTGGGGGAAGGGCTGCCTTTCCCAGCTGGGCTCAGGTTCCCCAGGGACAGGCTTTGTCCCCCAGATGGGGGAGAGGCACGGAGGAGGGAGGAGCAGCCCGGGAGATGGCCTCAGGGGTCAGGGAGTGAAAAGCCAGTCAGTGCCTGCACAGCCTGACCCTGGGGGCAGACACAGGACCATCCAGGCTAGGGCTGTGGAAGGGTTCAGGAAGCCAAGAGGCTCCAAAGTGGCTGTCCTGTCCCCAGCTTGGTGGCCCAGGATGTGGGACCCAAAGCTGCTCCTGTCTCTGTTCACTAACTGCCGATACAGCGCCCTCAGAGCTGGGAGGCATTTAGATGGGTCACACCCCCGCTGCGCTCACTGCCTGTCTGCAGCAGTCACCACACACGGCCAGAGGGTGAGGGAAGGATGCACTTGGGTTTGAATCCCAGTCACCACTGTGCCCATGCCGAGATGTGGGCCTCGAGGATGGTGCTGTGCTGAGCCTTCGTGCATGGAGTAGAGTCGCCAACGGCCAGAGGCACCAGCATTCGCCCCTGAGGCCCTCCTGCCCTCCCACCATGTGTTCATGGCGCCATCTTGGAATCAGAGACCAGGCCCTCACAGACACCAGGTCGGCTGGCACCTTGATCTTGAACTTCTGGCCTCCAGAATGGTGAGCAAGAATTTTCTGTTCGTTATATTTAGTTTTGGCAGCAGAGCCAGACCGAAGGGCACCAAGCTCTGCCTCTGTGTGGCTATGTGGCTGAGGGCCTTAGTTTCCTCAGTGGAACTGCAGTGCAGACCTGGCGGAGCTGTCAGGAGATGGGGTAACATGGTGCTCGGGGATCCATTACCACAGGGGCTTGTTTGCTCTCACAGGGCATAGAGCCAGGGCGGGTGACCCAAAGGCTTTCCAGAGCTAAGCGGGGGAGGGAGGTTGCCACTCAAAAGGAAAATAAAAACAGGACATCTGTTTCCTGAAGGAGCTATTTGGGGCACTGGGTCTTGTGGTACAAATCAGAGCAAATGCCTCTGACTCAGCAAAGAAAAGGCCAAGTTCCCTTCTGCCCGGAGGACTCTGCACATCCAGGCACTTCGGCCACCTCTTCCAGGAAGGCCTCCTGGACCCAGCCCTGGCCTCCCACCTCAGATGGACGCCTATCTGTCTCCCTCTCTGCGTCGTGGGGGAGCATCAGAGCCTGCTGTGGACCCAGGGATGGGTGAGAAACATCCCCAAGAAGAGTTATTACATAAGGAGAAATGGAAGTTAGAGCAGAGGCAGGACTGTGGGCCTGAGGGGGGAGCAGCCAGGGCAGAGGACAGTGACAGCTCTCCTCTCCCCAGCGAGACCTGGAGACCCAAACCCATGGACTGGGCCCCCTGAGGCGCCTGCACCCCACTTCTAGTCAGTGGAGCTCTTTGGCTGGATGGGTTCTTATGAAGGGAGAATTGGCCACTGAAGCGGTATCAGCCTCAGGTGGTGGATGTCACAGGGTCTGGCCGGTGCCTCTAGCCTGTGGGAGGCAGCCTAGCCCCTGCTCAGCTTTGTGGGAGGAGGAAACACACACACACACACACACACACACACACACACACACCCGGGGGCAGCTACTTACCACTCTGGAGCATCAGCAGGAGCCAGGCAGCGGCCCAGCCAGGCAGTTGCATCCTGAATTCCCGAGACTGCAGGAGCTGCAACAGCACAGCACAGTGGGAGGGTGAGCCCCGGGTAGCCTCCCTCCCATCCAACTCCCTCTGGAGGACTGCTGCAGATTCTAGCATTGGCCTCAAAGAAACAAGATCCTGTGGGTGACCCCAAGGCTTCCTGCCCCTCAGAAGTGTCTGGTTTCCCCTGGATCTCTCCCCACTCTCCCGCCTGCTTCTGGTCCTGCTTAGCAGTCACAGGGAGAGCTCAAGAGGGAGGGGACTGCTATTTATTCTGCTGTCCTTGCTGAGCCTATGGCACGTGGAACAGAGCAGTGCATTCATCGGCCTACAGTTACATGGACAGGAGGGAGGGAGGGAGGACTGATTTGGAAAGTAGCATCCACCGAACAGCAACCCGAGTCCTATGTGCTACTAAACACCCACGATGACATGGCCCGGTAAACTGGCTTTTTACTAAATAACAAATCCAAGTCCAGCCCATAAAGGGCACTGCTGCTGAATATTTAAGATAAGGTTAGCCCGATAGTGAGGTGTTTTACTCCATCTCAAGTCCAGGCCAGCCCCCTGGGGAGCACAGTAGGAAATCCAGGCCAACCGCACAGAGCAGCCTGGGCCCTGATTCTGACCAATATGAGCAAGACTGTCCAGGCCCTTGAGTGAGCATCTCTGAGAAGAGCAGCCTTTGATGTCCCGGGCAGAGGAGTGACCCCCAAGGTGGGCAGCCAGGGCCCTTCTGGCCCTTTGCATGCCGTGCCCAGCAGCTCTGGGTCTGTCTGGGGAGAGGCAGTCGGGGGCTGGCAGGGAGGCTGGGGAGCTCCATGTGGGGCCTTGTCACACACATGGCTTTTCCAGATCCCATCACGAACCCCACAAGACAACCCCTCACCAGAGTTCCCCCAGATACTACTGCACTCCCATTAACAGCTCTGTGTGACTTTCCTAATAAAGTCACCAAAGAAGCAACAGGAGAGGAGACACAGGCTGAGGGGCCAGAGTGCTTCCAATTAGCTGTGCAGCTGGAGTGAATACCATTTCCGCTGCTCGGAGGGACACTGGTCTCATCCCCGGGAGCCCTGTGCTCTGGTCTGAATGTGTGCCCCCAAGCTCACGTGGGGGAGAAAATCCCCCAGTCCACGTGTTGCTGGTATTTGGAGGTAGTCAGGCTTAGGTGGGGTGAGAGTACGGGGCCCCCTTGATGGACTCAGAGGTGGGGAGACCCAGGCTGGCCACTTGTGCTCTCTCCAGGAGATGCCTCAGCCCTGGGCTGATAGGGCAGGGCCCTCAGCAGGTGCAGAGCAACACCAGTGTACGATCTAGGACTTGAAAGCCTCCAGAACTGTGAGCGTAACGAACTTTTTAAATTACCAGATCTCAGGAACTTTGTAATAGCAGCAGAAAATGGACTAAGACACCCTGTTATTAGGCCTGGAGGGGGTGGTGGGCTGAGTCTGCCCCTCATTAGCACATCCACCTCTGTGACCCCCACCCAGCCCTGGGCCCAGCGGAGCTCTGCCTGTGTTACTCCTCAGTGGCTCCATCTCAACCACAGGAAGAAGCACAACCCACATTGCTAAGAAATGAGGCTCCTCTTCCCTCCCAATTCCTCAATTGCTCCTGGGGTTGTTGAGGGGGCACCTGCTGCCTGTGTCTGCCTGGCATCCCTTCCCCTTTCTGCTGAAGTGCTCCTTAAACTGGGGCAACTCTGTAGTTGGGGTACAGCTGACTCCACCCCCTGCCCATAAAATGGGCACCTGACTCATCCTGGCCAATTCGAGGGTTCCACTGGTCACACAGTGATTGACTCAGGGCTGGGCATGGACCCAAGGCCAATCAATGAGAGTCCTGGGATTTTTCCCTCTTTGGGGTTCCTGCCAGTGTCTTGTAGCCACTATGGTGCCCTCTTAGAGAAAGCCTATTTGCAAAGACTGGAAATACTGAGTTATGGAGGCCCAAGATGCCCATGGAAAGATTTGAGGACCTGGATGCAGTTGTACCTGACGCCCACATTTGGACCTTCATTTACATGAGCCCCCAAACCCCATGTGTTGCTCAACAGCACTGAATTATACCTCTGTTGCTTGCCACCAAAGATACTTGGTATTGAGGAGTGGAGAAAAGAGCCCAGAATCTGAAGCCAGTGGGTCTTGGAGCACGAGAGCTCCTCTCTGATCAGTCGCTGACCTCAGTTACCACCTCTGAAACGGGAACAGTGCTGTCCTCTGGACCTGGCAGCTAAGAATAGGCAGTGAGCGAGCAGATGTGACAATGCTTTGTGAACTGCAAAGGGCCAGACCAGGGCTGGGATTCCTGCTATTACTGGCCAGCTGCCCTGAATGACTCCCCAGCTCTCTACACCCTATGCCCCACGGAAACTCTGCCTTTGCATGAGCTCAGTTCTCTCCTTGGACAACTGTCCTTTAAACTCAGCTTTCCTGGCCTGCCTGCTGTGTTCCTGAAGTCACGATGGAATGTTCCAGAACTCCCGCCACTCATAATCACCAGGGTTTTCATTGGCACTGTTATCTACTTGCTATTTATCTTTACCTTGTCTCCTATTTTGGACTCCAACGAACCTGTTTCAAAAGACAATTTGATATCACTCCCATCAACAGGTAATTAGGATGGAACGGAGAGGAGCCTGTACCACGCTGACTGAAACAGACCATCCAGACCCGGCACTGCCACTGCCAGACTGGACCACGCAAGCTGCCTAAACTCCCTGGCGAGGTGGGGTGATGATGACAGCTCCATGCTCAGAGACCCTTGGGAGAGTTAAATCAGTCACAGTCGAAACACTTGGAACGGTGCCTGCCACACAGTAAGTGTCACTCAAGCACTTCCGGGGCCATAAAACTAGGCACAATGAAACACGAAAGTCACATTCAAGGAAGGCAAAAGACAGCAATTTTAGCGAGACCCTACCACCTGCCCAGGACCTGTGGGAGCTGGAGACTGGGTCTGCCTTTCAGACACACCAGCAGGCCCTTGCCCTGCCCCTTTAGCACGAGCAGCCACTGTGTACCCCATCACTGAGAGGAGGGACCAGGGCGCAGCTCTTCAGCTGCGGGATCCGAGACAGTTAACCCCGGCTCACAGGGCTGCTCACTTCCAGGAAACGGCAGCCCTGAGTGACAAGGGCTTCTGCAGCACGGGCGCCTCACAGTGCCCAGCACTGAGCGGGGCCCTGCCAGTTCCCCTGCCCTCTCGGCCCCAGTCCAGCCCTTGGTGCTCACCCCACCAGGCTGACTGGAGGACAAAGCAGCACACCAGGCCGCAGGCGCGTCTCCTTGGGGAGGACAGAGGGGAACCAAGGGGCTCTTGCTGGGGGCCCTGAGCCCTCGACCCCCACAGGCTCCCTCTGAGGAGTGAAGGGCCCTGACTTGGAAGCTGCTGGATCCCAGCCGTGTGTCCTTGACCAAGTTACCAACCTTCTCTGACGCTCTGTTTCCGCATCTGAAAAACGGGGGTCACGGATCTTTGCTGCAGGCTTGCTGTGAACACTGCTGCTTCGCCCCACAGGACGCCCGTGGAAGTGTTTCTCCACCAGGCGACAGCACCAAGAAGTGGTGTCTGGGGCTGTAGTAACTCATATTTCAGGAGATGGTGGGGAAGCGGAAAGGTGCGGGTTTAGGAAGTCAGACCGAAGTAAGTGCTATGTCGGGAACATAAAGCGCCTAACTTCACAGTGAAGAGAGACATGCAAATAAAAACCGCAATGACAGACCTTTTAAATTTTATCAGATTGGCAAAGAACAAAAGTCTGACGGTATCACAGGAGCTGAGGCTATGCTGCAACGGGGCTCGCTGGCAGCCGGAGGAATGTAAATTAATGCAAGTGGCCCAGGAAATGGTTTGGCATGATCTAATAAACTCAAGTATGCGCCTTCCCAGAGACCCGGCAAGGTCACTCCTACACACACTGCTGAAGAAACTCTCCACATGCATACCAGACGTGTATGGAGAGGTGTTTACCGCAGCATGGGTTTCAGCAGAGGAAAATCAGAAACAAACTACACACCCATCATCAGGAGAATGGAAAACATAAACCGTGATGTAATGGCTCAGTGTGAACGTGATTCATTCACTGGTGCACACAACAAAGCTACCGAGGGTCACGAAGAGAAAGAGCAGTGAAAAATCAGCAAATCAGGGAGGGGTGTGTGCATAGTAACACTGCACGCCACATCCCAAGCCACACAGCAAGTCTGTGAGTCACTGAGTGAGCGTGTGGATGTCGTAAAAATATAAATAAATTCATGGACGTGGTAAACATAAGTTTCGAGTAGTGTAGGAAAAAAGGGGATACAAGAAGGAAGAGTATGGGCCGGGGATTTAGCTCAGTGGTTTCGCCACCTGCTATGCAAGTGCAAGGACCTGAGTTCCATCCCCAGTACCAAAAAAAAAAAAAGAAGGAAGAGTATCTAGGCATCTCAACAGTTTGGTGAAATTATCGTGGATGTTAATTTATTATTATTATCAGTGGTGCTAGGGTTGAACCCAGGGCCTTCACACTGACCTACATCCCAGCTCTTCTTTGTTTTTATTTTGAGACAGGGTTATAAGTTGCCCAGGCCGGACTCCAACTTGTGATCCTCCTGCCTCAGCCTCCCAGAGTGTGGGGATTACAGGCATGCGCCTCCATCCCTGGCTATAATTATAGTATTATTTATGTCTTTTTCAGTGACCAAGTTACCTCATAACATTTTAAATATAAGTTTTGTAAAATGCTTGTGGAGAGAAGACTTCCACTTTTGGAATAGCTGGTATCAGACAAATCCTCCTACTGAGAACAACTGAGTAGAAATAAAAACTGCATGAGATAACAGCCACGCTATCTAGTCCCTGAGAGAAGGAAAATCAGTGAAACTTGGCATGCAATTTCCCTCCAATCATTTGTCAAGTTGTTGAGAATGAGCAGCATGCCAAGAATTAGGCTGAAAAACCAAGAGTAGATTTTGGCAGTTTTACAAGGCTGAGGGAAGAACTGGGATTCAAGGCCTGGTAAGAAATATGGGTCTTGAGTGAGCGGCCGGGCCAGCCGACGGGAACCGGACTGAGAAGCTGTTCACACAGTGGGCTGAGGATGAATGCCAGAGGACTTGGATCTCAGCTAAAGGACAGTGTTCCAGTTACTGAACTTTCAGCAAGTGGGCCTTTTGAAAGTCATGATCTTCTGCTGAAAGGTTTTTCTTGTGTGAAAAATGAACTATTACCAAGTCATCCTCTTGAATTATCAGAAAAAAATTTCCAGCTCAACAAAGATAAAATGAATTTTTCCACACTCAAGAACATCAAGGGTCTCTTTGCTTCTCTAAAATTACAAATGGAATTCAAGGCAGTACAACAGGTTCAGCGTCTCCCATTTCTCTCAAGCTCAAACTTTTCACTGGATATTTTGAGGGGTAATGAAGAGACTATCGGATTTGAAGGCATTCTCAATGATCCATCACAAAGTGAACTCACGGGGGAACCACACTTGATGGTGGAATATAAACTTGGCTTACTGTGATACGCATGTTGTTCATGAACCAGAGGGGCTGCATCTTGTGATAGTTGTCTTTTGTTATAGTTTGATGTACACGACATTAAAAGTACTGACACGGGAGAATTTCTGCTTAATAATATTAGTGACGATTTGAAATTATTTGAGCCTTTGGATTGTGGCTCTGCGACAGCTGAAAGCACTAAAGGTAGATGATTTCGAAGCTTCTAATTTGTAGTAAAACAATAGCCGTCCCTATCTTTCAAAAACTGTTTCCAGTGAATATCAGAAAACTGTCCAGAGGTTCCAACTCACCTACTTTCTAGGTATTCTATCAATTTAATTTTAAATGACCATTATCAGTATTTGAGCCTACACACTTTGTGGTAGCATCAGAATAAATATATATACAGTAATATCTCGGTTCATGAATGCGAAAGTGTTTAGCAGAATTTTACTTCTGTTCACAAACTCCACATTCGATGACAAACAGAGCCATGGCCCCACAGAAACACAAATGCAGCTATCTTTTCCAAAATCATAGAACAAATTAAGTGCATAAACCAAGGTACCACTGTAATTGATTTCAGTGGCAGCACTTAAAATTGAGTATAGTAGATGTTTGTTATGTTTTGGTATAGCTTATTAGAATAATGTTTGCTATATTGATTGTATTTACAATTATAGCTCTACTTTGATCCTGTCATGTTGAAAAGTTCAGAGGTTTTGATTTTGGTCTTATCTTTAAAGTGGAAAAGCCACCAGCAGATGTAGACTTATGGCTGTACTACATAAACTTAATATGTACTTACTTAATTTATTACCAGGCAACACTGTCAAAATAAAACTCACTTTTCCTTAATCTTAATTTGTATATCACAAGATACTTAAATGTTTTAAAGTTATTCAAATATTCATAAACATATTATGCATCCATAAACAAATTCCATAATTATGTAAATGAATGTTTAAAAAAAGGAAATATGGGTCTTGATAAGTACCCAGTCATTCAGAACAGGCCATGCCTTGGGAATAAAGACTGGGAATAGTTTAGACCTGACTGTATCAAGGAGATCTGCCTAAATGTTACATGTCTTTAAGAAGAAAATTAAAATCTATCTGGAAAAAGTTAGCTTCATCCAAAGCTTCTATATTTTTCATATACAATGTCCAGCATGCAATTAAAATTATAAGGTAAACTAGGAAATTGTATCAAATAATCAGTAAGCAAGAGAAGAAAAAAAATAGAAATAGACACAGAGATGATTCAGAAAATGACATTAGCGAACATGTTTTATAATAACTATGCTTATGCTTGGTACACTCAAGAATTCTACCAGAAACATGCAATCTCCTTAAAAACTAGAAATCCTAGCACAGAACACCATAATAACTGAAATTTATAAGAACTGAAGAGATGGATTTAGCAACTTATTTGAAAGATCAGAAGAGAAGATGAGTGAGCTGGAACATTGGTCAACAGAAACTACCCGGATTGAAGCATGCAGAAAAAATGTTCAAATATGCACCAAAGAGGACAGGAGACATGTGAGACATTGTGAAATGATAGCATATATACACTTGGAATTAAGAAAGAGAGGAGAAAAAAGTCAGGAGTAATAGTGAAGAGACTGATTAGGGATTTTTCTAAACTTACAAAAGACATTAAGCCACAGATTCAAAAAGCTTTACAAGCCAGGCATTCTGGCACATTCCTGTAATCCCATCACTCTAGGGGGCTGAAGCAAGAGGATCACAAGTTCCAGCCCAGCCCAGGCAACTTAGTGAAGCTCTGTCTCAAAATTTAAAAAGGGCTGAAAATGTAGCTCAGTGTGAAGGCCCTGAGTTCAATCTCCAGTACTGAAAAAAAAAAAGCTCTATAAATCCCAAGAAAAAAGATATTTTACCTATGGACTTATTAACAGAAATGATGGAAAGAAGAAGACCATAGAAAAGTTATTTAAAAGCTGAAATTGCTAAGGATGGAATCCAAGACCTCTGGAAAAGCTGAAATTTTTAAAAGCCAACTTCGAATTTTATATCCAGCAAGAATATCCAAGTGAAGACAAAAAATAAAAACAACTCCCCCCCCAAAAAAGGAAAAATGAAGGCAAGATCACTCTAATAGATAAAAGGATCTGTGAAATCCCAGTTAGCATCATATCTAACAGTGAAAATCTGAAAGCTTTGCCACTAAGACCATGAACAAGGCAAGAACTCATCCTCTTGATGCCTATGAAATATTTTAGTGAGGTTCTAGCCAAGGCCAATAGGCAAAAAGTAACCCAGACTGGAAAGAAAGAAATAAACTATTTCTGTTTTTCGACAATATCATCTTGTATATACAAAATCTAAAGGAATACACACCAAAACAAACCAACAAAAACTATTTGGGTTAATAAATGAATTTAGTAAGCTGTAAGATACAAGGTTAATATTCAAAAGTCAATTATATTTTATACACTGTCAATGAACAATCTGAATGAAATTAAGAAAGCTGTTTCATTTAAATAACACCAAAATGAATATAATACTTAGGAATAAATTTTAACAATTATTAGTTATGTTACTGCAAGACTAGTTTAATAGGATGAGATTAGCACATGGAAAATTATAAACATTATTGAAACAAATAATAAAAGTACTAAATAAATGGAGGATATCCATTGATGTGTTCCTGGACTGAGAGACTTGATATTATGAAATGACTACCTAGATTGCTGAGAGTGAACCTTTCAGAACTTTCAGTGATGATAAACAGCTCCCTGTGGCATGCGTGCATGGGCTCACCACCACTGCCCTAGACTGATTTACAGAAATCCTCTAAAAATCCAAGCTGGATTTTGCCGGGGGGGGGGGGGGGGGTTAATTCTAAAGTTGATAGGGAAATGTAAGGAACTAGTAGTAAAGCAATCTTGAGAAAGAAGTCAGTGTGAGAATTTGTACTTCCCAATTCCAAAGCTTAGTACAAAGGTACATTAATCAGCACAGTGTGGTACTGTTATATAGATAGACATATAGATCAGTGGCATCAGATTGAGAGTCCAGAAGTAAGTCCATACATTTATATTTGATTGATTTTGACAAGGGTGAAAAATAATTCAGTGGGGGGAAAAGAAGGGGCTTTAAACTAAGAGGTTCTAGTGAAATTGGATATTCACATGCAATATAATTTCACATCATACACAAAAATCTACTCAAAATAGATTAAAGACTGAAATATAAGGAAAAACTATTAGAGTCTTAAACATAGGCGTAAATCTTTTTTTCTTTTAATAGGCATAAATCTTAATGACCTTATGTTAGATAATAGTCTTTTTTTTTTTTTTTTTTTTTTTTTTTTTTTTTTTTTTGGTACCAGGATCAAACTTAGGACTTTGTGCTTGCTAGCCAGGTAGTGGCACTGCTAAACTAAATCCCTGGCCCTTTTTGCTTTTTTTTTTTTGAGACAGGGTCTCACTATGTAGTTCAGGCTGGCCTTGAACCTACCATGTAGCCCAGGCTGGCTTCAAACTCACCTCCTGAGTGCTGGAACTACAGGGGTGCACCAGCACACCTGGCAACTGGGCAATAGCTTCTTAAATATAATACCCAAAACATAAAGAAATAAAGAAAAGTGAATAAATTGGACGATATAAAAATTTAAAACATTTGTGCTGAAAGGACAGTATTTTTTTTTTTGGTACCAGGGATCAAACTCGGGTCCTTGCACTTTTGAGGCAGGTGGTGGAAAGGACAGTCTTAAAGTGAAAAGACAGCTACAGAATGGGCAAAAGTAATTTCAAATCATGTGTGTGCTAAAGGACTAGTATTGATCACGAAGAACCCTTACAACTCAAGAGCTAAATGACACAGAACCCAATTTAAAACAGACAAAAATTTGAATAGATATTTCATCAAAGAATATATACAAATGACAAACACACACAAAAGAAGCTCAGCATCACCAGTCATCAAGGAGCTTCAAATAAAGACACAATGAGGTGCCCCTCCCTATCTACTGGGAGGGCAATGAGAGCCACAATAACAATAATAACAAGTGTGAGTGAGGAAGTGGAGAAACTGAACAGTTATACATCGTTAGTGAGCACATAAAATGGTTTGGCCACTACTGGAAAAGTTTTTCAGTTTCTCTGAAGTTAAGTCAGTGTTACCATAATACCAAGTAATTCCACTTCTAGGTACAGAGTGAAAAGAACTGACTATATATGTAAAACAACAACAGCAAAAAACTTTGTACACAAATGATCCTAGAAAAATTATTCATAATAGTCAAAATTTGGAAGCAACCTAAATTTCTATCAACTGGTGAGCCGATAAACAAAATGTAGGGTATCCTTGTGACATAATATTATGTAGCTATAAACGAGATTGACCTACCAGTATGTGCTACAACAACCGGAATGAAGCCAACACCAAAGGTCAAACGCTGTATAATTCAATTTATATGAAGTGTCCAGAATAGGCAAATCCACAGAGACAGAAAGTAGGTTGTCAAAAGCTGAAATTGTAAGCGGGCAGTGGAGAGTGACTAATAACAGCCATAGGGTTTCTTTCTGGAGTGATGAAAATATTCTAGGATTAGTTAATGATGATGTTCACACAACTTTGTGAATATTCTGTACTAAAATCTATTGAATTGTACACTAAAAAGTGATTTTTTAAGGTATGTGAGATATATCTTGATTAAAATGGTTTATTCAGACTTTAGAACCCCCACAAAAACAGAGTTTGTCACTGGCAGGCCTGCACCAAAAGAGATGCTAATGTGAGCTTTTCAGGCCAAAGAAAAACAATTTCAGATAAGAAGCAGGGCTCTGTAGAAGGAATGAAGAGCAGCAGAGAAGAAATAAAGATAAGTATTAATGGCTGAAAACACCAAGATAACCTCTTATAGAATTTTAAGTATTTGTAGAACTAAAACACATGACCACGATACCCCAGAGGTAAGAAGAGTGAATAAAGTTAAAGGCCAATGTTTGTCCAGGAAGTGGTAAAACTTCTAACGTAGACAGACCTTTTTAAAAATCAAGTATGCATGTTGTCCTAAGATGGGCACAAAAAGGTTTATCAAAGAAAGAACAACAGAAGGAGGGGTAGGGAGAGGAGAGAGAGGGGAAGGGGAAATAAAAGAATTAAGATGTGTTACATACATGTACCAACTCCCCACAATGACTATAATCATTATGTAGAGCAAGCATATACTAATAAAAATTTTACAAGTTAAAAAAAGAACATACAGCAAACCAACCATAGAAAATATAGAATCAACTTCAGAAAGTTGGTTATTCTAGGGCCAGGGATTTAGCTCAGTGATGCCCCTGCCTGCCTTGCAAGCGCAAGGTCCCGAGTTTGATCCCTGGTACCAAAAAAAAAAAAGAAAAGAAAGTTGATTATTCTAAAATTTGGACAAAGAAGAAGAAAGCGGGAACAAAGAATAAATGGCATTAAAAAAAGAAAAACAAATGGTGATATACTAGGCTTAGTCCCAAACATATCAGCACTTTCATTAACCGTAATGAACTAAACACTGGAATTAAAGATGCCAAAAATTGACATTAAAGGAAAGTAAAATTGTAGGGGCCAGGGATTTAGCTCAGTGGTTCCTCAGCCCGCCTTGCAAGCGCAAGGTCCTGAGTTTGATCCCTGGTATCAAAAAAAAAGAAAAAAGAAGGTAAAATTGTAGGTCAATCCTTCTCATGAATAAAATGCAAAAATCCTGAGCCAGGCTTGGTCCACACCTGTAATCCCAGCATTTAGGATTGCTGTGAGTTCCAGGCCATCCTGAAGCTATACACTTCCAGGTCAGCCCAAACTGCATAGTGAGACCCTGTCTCAAACAACAACAAAGTAACAAATATGTATATATAAAATATATAAATATATCACACTGATTTATTTTTGAAATGTAAGATTAGTTTGACATTTAAAAATCAGTAATCTGGGGAGGAACAGCAAGAATAGAAGGGAGGGTAGAAGGCATGTGTGGAAATGTCACAGTGAAACTCGTTAACCTGCAGTATTAGTATGTATTAGTAATTACAATATGAAAAAGAAAAAGAAAAGAAAGTCAGTAATCTCTTTAATAACAATAAAAAAATTTTACATGATCATTTAATAGGTTCAGAAAGCATAATGAATGGATTGCAACACCTATTTGTGACTTTTAAAAGTCTGTCAGAAAATATAATTCCTGTGTCCCGTGAAGATTAAATCATTAATCTGACAACTGACAAAGGTCTCACACACACACACACACACACACACACACACACACACACACCCTACATAGCTAACATTATCCTTAATGGCTAAATATAAAACACTTCCTCCCTGAAACAAGAAAAACCAAAACTATCTTGGACTAGAGATCCCAATCAACACAGTAAGGCAAAGGGATAAATTTATAAAGGTTAGAAAACTATACTTGTTTGGAATGGTATAAGGATTGCATACCTAGAAAAGACCAAGATATTCAGGAATAAATGATTAGAATAAAAATTAAGGAAACTGAACATAAGATCAAAATAAAATTTTATTGTATTTCTAAAGATCATCAAAATTGACAAACTCTTAGACTAAGAGAATAGAGAGAAGATTCAAGTACCTAAAGTCAGAAATGCAGGAGACATTACAACTGACACTATAGGAATAAAGGGGATAAGAGAAAGCCATGAACAATTATGTGGCCACAGACTGAATAACTTTGAAGAAATTGACAAATTCCTAGAAACAAACTTACAAGGCTGAATCACATACACAAATCTAAATAGACCTACGACTAGTAAGGAGTTTGGGTCAGTAATCAAAAGAAAAAGTCCAGAGCCAAATGGCTGCACTGGAAAATTCCACCAATCATTTCTAAAGAAAGATCAACACCAACCCTTCCCAAGCTCTTCCAAAAAACCGAAGAAGAGGGAACAACTCATTTTATAAGGCACTGACACCGAAGCCAGAAAATGGTGCAAGAAAACTACCAACCAATACTGTTGCTAAATATCTATGCAAAAATCTTCAATAACATACTAACAAAGCAAATTCAACCGCACATTAAAAGAATCATATGCCATGGCCACACAGAGTTTACCCCTGAAATGTAGATGATTCAAATTACGAACATCAATAAATGTAATACACCACACAAACAGGACAAAGGACCAAAAACTGCATAATCCTCTCAGCTGGTGCAGAAAAGGCATTTGACAAGATTCAGGCCCTTTAACAATGAAAAATAAAAAACACTCAACGAGCAGGAAACAGAAACAAATTACTTTGTGTGGTGTTGGGAGGTGAATCCTGGTGGCGGAGGTGGGTCAATGTGGGCGTGGCCTGGAAGGGTCTGTATCCCCTTTTCCTCTAAAAATCCCTTCCTGGTTCCTGTGATCCCCGCCCCCCCCCCAGCCAGCTGAATATGGACTGAAACAGTTACAAACTGTAAGCTAAAGTAAACCTTTCCTCCTTACAGCTGTGGGTGTTGGGTGTTGTGTCCCAGTGACAAGAAAGTAACTAAGACAATTATATGCAAAAATTAGCTCAAGAAATCAAAGGGGCAAATCTTCATGACATTACACTGGGTGGCGATTTCTTGGCTAGAAAGCCAGAAGCATAGTCAACAAGAGCAAGCATAGAAAAGGACTACAACAAACTTAAAAACTTCTGCTCAGCAAGGAAATAATCAACAAGATCAAAAGGCAACCTATAAAAGGAGAGAAAAAATTTGCAAAGCCTATGTTTGATAGGGGATTAGTATCTAGAATAAAAAGAACATCTCCAACCCAGTAACAAAGAAACTCAAAATATCCTAATTTAAGAATGGGCAAAGGAAAAAAAAAAAAAAAAGAATGGGCAAAGGACTTAAACAGATATTTCTCCAAAGAAGATGAACAAATGGCTAACACATATATGAAAAGATGTTCAGTATCACTAATCATCAGAGAAATGAAGATCAAAACCATAATGAAATATCTCACACCTGTTAGGAGGGTTATTATTGTTACTTTTTAAATGGCCAGTGTTGGTGAGGATGTAGAGAAGTTGGAATACTTCTGCACCTTTGGAGGGGTTATAAAATGCTACAAAGTTTTGCTAATTTTTAAAAAATGAAAAATAGAAACATCAGGTATACATCCAAAAGAATTCAAGGTGGCATCTTTTTTTTTTTTGGTACTGGGGATCAAACTCAGGAACTTGTGCTTGCAAGGCAGGTGGCAGAATCACTGAGCTAAATACCCTGCTAAGGTGGCATCTTAAATACTTTTGCACCTGTGTTACTGCCCTAGTATTTATAATAGCCAAGATGTCCAAGTAATCTAAATTCACTGACAGGTAAATAGATATAAAAAAAATTAAATGTGGAATATTATTTGGGCTTCCAAAAGAAGAAAATCCTGTCATAAGCTACAGCATGGACGAAACTTGAGGAATTAGGCTGAGTAAAGTAAGTTACAAAAAGACACAATGCATCTAAAGTCATCGAGCTCACAGAAACAGAAAGGAGGCTGGCAGTTGCCAGGGACCGGGGAAAAGGGATGGTGGGGAGCCGCCTGAGAGGCACAGTGTTTTGCTCACGCAAGATAAAAGTCTGAAGATCAGTTCTCAACAGTGTGCATATAGTCAACAGCGTCATATTGTACACTTCAAAATTGTTAAGTGTTAGAAACAAAACAACCTTATTGGTTAATGAAGTTGCAGCCTGGGACCCTCTGCTTTGCACCAATATACCTTCTTCCACTAGATTAGCAGAGGAAGAACCCTAAAAACATTACAAAAGCAAAGGCAAGAACCCCTTCTCTAAGTGGATGCCACAGCTATACCCCTACAGCCCCAGCTCAGCAGCAGGCTAAGGGAGGAGGCGCATTGAGCCCAGGAGTTGGAAGCCAGCTCAGGCAACATAGACAGAGTCTGCCTCAAACCAAACCAAAACCCAAATCAAAACCAAGACAGATCTCTTATCTGTAGTTGGTTGAAGTGGGTTGTTTTGGTAACTACCTGCATGTACATCTAAAATCTAACTTGAAAAATATATCAATAAAGTTGCCAGATGTTTTTAAAAATCATGTATTTCTCTAAGAATAAATATCAAATTTAAAAATTATGCGATTTACATAAATATCAAACACCCAAGAATGACTCTAACTAATGATTTACAAGACTTATAAACAGAAACCTATAAGACATTTCTAAGATAAATTAAATTAAAAGAAATAGAAATAAATGGAGGAACATACTGACTGTGTTAATGGATTGGAAGATTTAAACTTTTCCATTTTCTTCAAATCGAACTAAAGTTTCAGTGAGATCTCAGGGTTAAAAAAAAATACTTCAGCAAGATTTTCTTTGGTGGAAATTGACCAAATTATTTTAAAATTTATATAGAGATGCAAAAAGCTCAAAATAGTTTAGATAATTTGAAGACTATCAAGACCTGTAAAATAATCAAGAAAACATGGCAAAGAGAAACAAACTGGCTGATAGAAAAAAATAGATACTCTAGAATTAGACATAATAATTATTTGATTTCTGATAAATGCATCTGTGAAAAGCATGGAGAAAGCATGACATTAAAAAATGATGCCATATTAGTTGACTATTCATACAGGAAAGAATGCACCTTGAAAAATACCCATGTCTCACACTGAGCATGAAAATAAATTCCAGATACACTGTAGGTACAAATATGAAAGTAAAACAATAAATCATCCAGAAGAAAACACAGGATAAAATTCCCCTAACCTCAGTGCTGGCAAGTCTTCTTAGGTGGCACAGAAAGCTTTCACTATAAAGAAAAAAGACTGATGAACTTGATTTAGTTAAAATTAAGAATTTTTGTCACCGACAGTTCCCAGTAATAGAATGGAAAATAAACTAAACTTGGAGCAATTAGAGAGAGAGGCAGACAGAGCACGCCTAGGGAAGGGTGTAGAGTGGCCTCCCTCGCGTGGCTGCTCAGTATTGTTTGCGCTCAGCCAGGGTGACCTGACGCCCGCTTTGGAAAACTGCTGAACAGCGGGCGGGCGCAGTGGTTTCTTGCAAGGTCCCAGGCAGAGCGGAATGCATACACCAGGAAGCCAGCAGGCCTGTCCGGAGAGGCACGGCTCACAGCCTCCGGACTGGAGAGAGCCCAGTTGCTGGGCTTCCGAGCCTTCCTCCCCTGCCCACGACTAAGGAATGAGCCCTTCTCTGCGCCTGGCCCTGCTGCACGGAGCCGCAGAGCTGAAAGTGAAAGGTGAGGGCCCCCTTTCCCACGGCCAGAAGAGGGGCGTGGGTGCCGCGGGACTCCCCGGCGGCGGCGGCGGCGGCGGCGGCGGCGGCGGGAGCGCAGTCTGCGAGAGCCCTGGGACCTGGAAGGAGAAGCTGGTGAGGCAGGGACTTCCCAAGAGGGAAAGCGCAGGAAGAGCTCCTGGTCCCGGGTCACTCTGCCTGTCCTCAGGCCCCACTCCACCCTCAGGGACCCTGACTCCCCGGCGTACTGAGACCCCCCCCCCGCACCCCCGGGACTCAGTGCCCCAGCTCTCCCTGCCCGCTGACTGTCTGCCTCCCTCCCACTCAGATGTCGTCTCCGCCTGGCCCTGACCCCTCCAGCGAGTGAGTGACTCCTTCCTCCGGAGCCGACCCTTCACCAGAGAACAGGCTCAGGATGCCCTGGCCCTGTCTGTGCAGCAGGGACCATTGCCCTTGGATACTGCTGACCCCTAGGGACTGCCCAGTGCCTCACATACAGTAGGTGCTCTTGACATGTGTCACGTGGGTGACTAAATGGCAGACCGTGCTTTCTACCCTCATGGGTTGTGAGGGTTACTGTCGGTGACAGTATCTTCACAGGCTGTATCCTCCAAGCTTGCTTTGACTTCTCTTTCTTGTGTTGAGAGCCTTATGTCCACAGGAGAAGAGCTCCAAGGCTCTAGGTTTCCCTCCCACCTCAGGACCTTTGTACATACCACGCTCTCTGCCCAGAATGCTTTTCCCCAGCTTGTCTGCATTCTCCCCCTCAGGTTTCAATGTCAGTGAGAATGAAATGGCTTTCTGAAGGAGCCCCTCCACTGTGTTTCTCTCCTCTGCAGCAGTTTCCATAGTGGGCTTGGTTTGGTGACTGGTTCTGGTGACCTTTCTCTGCCCGGAACACCAGCCCCACAGGGCGGGGACTTGCCTGTTTGCTCACCCCGGCATTCCTAGTGCGCTGGCACACAGTAGGTGCTCAGTGAGGAGAGAGGGCTGGTGACTGAATGTGTGCGCAAGAGCTGCTGGGCAGGGTCATGCAAGGAGCAGCGGCCCCTGAGGGTCTCGGTCTCCCCTTCAGCCTTGTCACTGTCCCCAGGAGCCCCGAGGCTCCTACTTGGGGCCACACCCTCAGCTCCCAATCTGAGTGATGTGCCCGTGACAGCAGGTAGCAACGGGGACAGTCCAGAGAGGGTGCTGGTTTGCCCAGCATCACACAGCAGGTGCTCAACTGAGCAGGGGTCTAGCTGGGCTGGGAAGAACTGGCCAAGTGGCTGTGGGCGGAAAGGAGACTGCAACAGCTCAAGCTGGGACGTGGCCACCTCTTGTGCTTCTCTGAGCCTCACATGGCATCTGTGGATTCCCCTGCCCTGGCAGCCATGAACCCGTGCCAGACCCACACCAGGACGGTGCAGACGAAGCACGGAAAAGAAGGCGCTCTAGACCACAGCTCGAGGCTACGTCAGGAGCCAGCAAGCTGCGCTCTGCCTCCAGCCACCCGGCCTGGGCCAGGAGGCCGACTGTTACTGATGTGGAGACAGACAGGGATGCTCCTGGCTGCCCATCAGGGCCTTGGCAGACGAGGGAGCAGAGCCTGGAGAAGCCCAGAGTCCTGGCCATGGGACACAGGACCCCGAGGGGGCCCTGGAGACCGTTGCTCTCGCTGGGCTGCAGAGAGCTGCAGGTGGGGTCCCTGCTGCAGGTGTCCTGGCAGCTGGGGCGCTTGCTGGGGCCCTGCCCGGCCTGGGGAATGTTCTCAGATGGTGTAGCAGTTCCAGGTTTACTCAGAGCTCTCTTCTGAGCTGTCATGAAAAGTCCCTTTGGCCTGGGGCCCGGGCAGGCTGGGGCGGTGGGGCCTGTGAGCCTTGGGGGGGGGCGAGGGTCCTCCCAGCTCCCTCCCCAACTCAGCGGGGCCTGGAGAAGCAGGGGAGAGAGGGGCAGGGGGCAAGAAGACCCTCGTCTTGGGGCTCTCTTTTCTTCCCTTCACAATGGCCTCCTGGGTGACCCTAGAAAATGCCCCTCCCTCCCCAGCACTCAGTTTCCCTGTCTGTCAAAGGGGTGTAGAATCACCCTAAATCAGATCCATCATTAGGTGAGGACTCAGTACATGCTGGTGTTCCAGCCAGTGACAAGACTATTATCACCAAAAATAAAGTAAAACCTAACAGTTACTCACTCCTTTCTGTCTCTCCCTGTCCCTCCCGTGTCTCCCTCCCACTCGCTCTCCCGCTCTCTCCCAGTTCTGGGCATGAACCCAGGGCCTGCACACTGATTGAATCTCTAGCTCTTTTTTATTTTTTTAGTTTGAGACAGAGTCTCACTAACTCCTGAGTCGCCCAGGCTGGGCTGGAAAGTGTGGTCCTCCTGCCTCAGCCTCCCAGGTGTGGGTCACCATGCCTGGATTGGCTGCTGCTCCCTGGGAGCCCTGGGGGGCGCTGCCGAGCACGTGTCCCTGTCACAGTGCTGGCTCAGACTCGTGCACCCCAGGCACAGGGCTGGAAACAGCTGCTCGGGGTCAGCGTGTGTGTTAAGGCCCACAGGGACGCTGCAGCCTGTCCGTCCTCCTCCCTGCATTCTGACAGAGACCCCATTCTGGTTCCTACGCCCATTTCCTCTTATCACACGTGAGGCCCCCGCTGCAGAGAGCTGTGGGGCTGGGACTTGAACCCAGGTCCGGCCCATTCCCGAGTCCCACGTCACCACTGGCTCCCTGCCCTCCCCACCCCAGGGCCCCAGGGTGGGCTCGGAGGGGAAGGTGCTCCATCCTGCCTGGGGCCCCTCCGCCTGCACACGCGCAGTCCCAGGCACCAGAGAAGCCAGAGCCTCCCCAGGCTGGGCTGCCGGGCTGTTTCCTTCTCCACCTCTCCCGCCTCCTGCTGGCGGGCTGCCCCGCACTCCCTCCCCTTCCCTCCCTCCTCTGAGGGCTTGTGAGGGAACTGGACACAGCTGGGGTAGGTGGGCAGGACTGGGCTTCTGCAGAGCTCACCACCGGCACCTGAGGCAGGGCCCCTGCACCGTGGGCCGCCCGCCACGGGGCGGATGCCCAGCCATCAGGCCCTGTGCCCGGCTTGAAGTGGCCCAGGCCAGGAGTCACCTTTCTGCCTCATCCTGCCCTGCAGGACGCTCCTTGCCGTCACACGGACCCTGCATGTCCCAGTCCCAGTTGAGCTGGGACCAAAGCTGTCCCTGCCGAGCCTCAGTCTGGTCACCTGTGAAGGGGGCTGCACGAGGCCACCAGCCTCACCTGTGGTGAGCTCTGGGAGATCCTCGAGCGCCTCCACCCGGTGGGCTCGGGGGGCCCATGGTGCAAACTGCCCTAAGGGACAGGGTGTCTGCAATCCCGGCTTTCACATTGTGCCCTGCAGACCTTGCAAGCAGCCCCTAGGATGGCGCTGCCTTCGCCCCACTTTACAGATGGGCAAACTGAGGCTGGAAGCAGCGAGACCTGCGTGTTCACCCTGCCAGGGAGTTGAGCGGCCAGGTTTGAGCCTCCACCATGTGCTCTGAACCACAGGGGAGGGCAGGTGTTCTCCTAGGAGCAGCCTTGTGGCTTTGCAGTGTCCTGGGTCTGCGTCCTGAGCTCCTGCCAGCTCTCCGTCAGGCTCTTCCCCCTCGTTCCCCTCCCTGTGTCCACCAGGAAGGAATCTGCCCATTTCTCACTTTCCTGTGCTCGGCCCTCAGCCTCCACTTGCCTCCTCCTGACTCCCTCCTGCCCACACATGAGAAGCTTCGCCTCTTCCCGTCGGAGCCCGGCCCGGGGCTCATGAGGACGAGGAGCCAACGTGGGGTCACCTGATGTGACTGTCCAGCGCATCCTGGCTGCGTGACCTTCCCAGGCCTGACCTCCCCTCTGTGAAACCCCCTTTGAAGGATTAGATGACATAAACGCGATAAAACAGGGAAGCGAGCCCTGGTGATGCCCTCCCCACCCAGTGGCCCACAGAGGCGCCCACCGTGCCGTGCCTGCCTGGAGCGCCCGTCCGCGCCTTTGGGGAACTGCTTCCCTCGCCCACCCCTGCTCCTTGATCTGCACAGAGGGTCGCCCCGGCCCCCACACCCCAGGCCTCCTGGAGGGTCCGGTGTTCTGAGCTCTCCGGACCAGCGGACCAGCAGCCTTTCGTGCCGGGTCCCCAGCTGTGCCTGGGCTGCCCGAGGCTGCCGCCCGGGGCAGAGCAGACCCGGCCCAGAGAACAGGGGCCGCAGCGCTGTTACCTGTCGCTTCCGTGGTCAGAAGTCCATGCTGGAGCCGAGCCCCGGGCAGGCTGGCGGCTTCCTGGGGGTGCCAGCTGGGCTCCGGCGGGGCTGGGAGTCGAGGGGCTGAGGAAGCCAGTCTGGGCGAGAATCGGCAGCCGGCCCAAGCCCCAGGCGGTCACGGATGGAGGTGAGCAGGTGTCGGAGCGGGAGACAGCGGGACAGGAGGAGGAGGGAGCCACACGGGGGGACAGAGGGCCGGGAGGGCAGGGACAGCGGGCGGCCCTCAGTCGCACGGGGACGCCGACCGGGGCGCAAATCCGGGCCCGCGGGCGGCCGGCGCTGCAATCCCCAGCTGCAGGCGGGAGGAGGATGTGGGGAGGCCCCGCCCTTCGCCCCGCCTCGGCGCCGTGGGAGCCCGCGCGGCCAAAGGTCACCTGCGAGGAAAACCGGGGGTGACAGCCACCTCGGGCCAGTGACATCATCCAGCATCCTCAGCCCCTCGAGAAGGGCGGCTGGCCTGAGTCCCCGCTTCTCACAGGCGTGGGGACCGAGTCCGGGCTGTGAAGAACTGGGGCGGTCCGGGGCGCCCGCAGCTCTCGGGGTGGGGAGGCCCAGCCGTGTGTCCCCTGCAGCCCCTCGCCCTCGGCCGTCTGCCCTGCAGGTCAGAGCTTGGGACCCTCTCCCTGTGACCCAGCTCCCGTCCGGCCTCCTGCTTCAGCACTGCAGGCGCAGGCCCGTCCCCGGCAGGAGAACTGCAAGTTTGAGCCCAGCCTGGGGAATCTACTGACTCGATTTCACAATAAGAAATACGGAGGACTGGGGACAAACTCGGTGTGAAGGCCCCCGGTTCAATCCCCAGTACTGGGGCGGGGGTGGGTGAGTGGGGATGTGGAGAGAGAAAAGGACAAAAGAAAAGGAAACCCGGGAACAAAATCCAGCCAACTCAGGCCAGAGACCTCAAAAGGGAGGAGCCAGAAAACTGCCCCCATCACCATCATCATGACTACAGGATCCCCACCTTGCAATGCGCCGTTCCCGCGTGATCTTCTTTTACCCACAAACCCTTGAGGCAGACACAGAGACTGAGGCTCGGAGGAGAGAAACATCCCCAAAGCCACGAAGTGTCCGAACTGGGATTTGAACGAGGGGCTCTGATTGACCTGCTTGCCCAGGCTGAGGCAGGTTGAAAAGTTCTCAGGGTGGGTGGGATTTATGACACAAGCCTCCTCTCTCAACTGACTCAGTTTTGGGGAATGCTTTGCAGCTGGTCCACATGACCACTCCAGAGGAAAAGAGAAAGCATCTTTCTATTTCTTCATTTTTCCCCCCCTTTTCGTGTTTGAGGAACTTGGTGCAAATTCCCCTGTGGTCCTCTGTAGGGTGTCTGTTCTGTAGACACAGCATCTCCTCCCGACTGCCTCCCCGCCCCAGGACGTCCTGGAAGGCAGTCAGATTTCCTTTTCTTTTGCTTTTTCTTAATCTTCAAAGTGAATCTCTGATACTGGCCCTGGAATCAGCAGTGGCTGAAGGATCAAGGATAGTGGAAGGGTTAGTTTTTGTGAAGTGCTCACTCTGGCTAGGGTTTCAGGACTTTAAGAGGCTCAGTCTCTGCTGGGTGTGGTGGCGACAGAGGAATCTCGAGTTCCAGGCCAGCCTGGGTAACTTCAACCAGAGCTCAAAAAAAAAAATAAAATGGACTGGGGCTGTAGCTCAGTGGAGAGCACCCCTGGGTCCCATCCCCAGTATCCACCGCCCAAAAAAAGCACGGTCTCGAACCTCAGATCTTGAGAAGACACCTACTGCCACCACTGTCTCCTCCTCTCTGAGTTACAGAGAGCAAGGGAGGCTGGCCAGGCTGCGACTTCTCCTTGCCTCCTCTCTCCCTCTCTCGCTTCACGGAAATAGACACGGAGCGGCAGCCCTCCTCGAATCTATTATTCTTGAGGGAGAGACAGACAAGCACGGAAAGTGGGCATTATACGAGGTGCCAGAGAAACCCACAGGAGGCCAAGGCCGTTATAGTGGAGGGAGCCGGACCCGGGGCAGTGTTTTAGGCAGGAGGACCTGCAGATGCAAAGGTGGTGAGGAGGGAAAGAATGCAGCTTGCCCCAGGAGCCTGGGTCGAGCAGGGGAGGGAGGGGCAGGCAGAGGGATAACACCTCCTGCAGGCCCCGGGGGACCTTGCAAGACCTCGAAAGGAGGGTAGATTTGGTTCCAATGGAAACAGGAAGTCACTTGAGGTTCCCAGAGGGGCTCAGTCCAATTTACATATCAGAACGGGGCTCAGGCCACCATGTGGGCAGTGTGGGGGGGGGGCAGGGGCCCCTTAGTCTCTAGTTAACAAGTAGGGGGTTTTGGAGCTGGAAATTTAACAGCTCCCATCATCATGTCTGTTGGGGTGAACATTAGTCCCCAAAATAGATGTGTCTTCAGAGAGGGTCCCATTGATACTTCCTTTCTACTATCTTAGCAATCAGCCAGTGACCCAGCCGAGATTCCCTACCTATTTGGAGCCATAAAGGAAAACAAAGCAGGAAGTACCCTTCCAGCCTTTACAGAGCTCTGAGCTGGAGCTTTCCACATTTAGCCTGGCTGACTACAGCTTTGTCTCAGCCCTCACTTCCTGGGGCAGGGCCCAAACCTCAGCCAGGGAGACAAGCCCAGGGGCCTCACATAGCTTTCTGTGCTGCAGCAGCCCTGGACAAATGGGCTGCACTCCAGGTTCCTCGGCATTATGGTTTAGATCTAAAATGTGCCCCCCCCAAAAAAAAGAATGTTCCCCAAAGCTTCTGTGTCCAGAGATGGGGCTTTTGAAGGGCGATTGGATCAGGGTGCGCCATACTCATCATGGGTTAATTCACTGAATTTGCTGTTAGGAGGTGAGCCCTTGTTGGAGCAGGCCAGGCAGGCACCAGGGGCCCATGAATCAGAAGACTCAGTATATTTAGGACTGCAAAGCT